CTCTTCCAGCCGGGGTAGGTTTTCCGGGTTCCTGCGGTAACGCACATCTTCGACTGCGCCGTGGAGGGGCGTTCTTGTTGGAGGGCCCCTTTGACGGCCTCGATCCATAGATTTGACGGATATGTCGGCATTATGTTCGAGGAGGAACTTGACAATACTCGGGTCAACTTTGCGCGCGGCTAGAAAGAGAGGGGTCTCTCCATCTGCGGCTGCATCGATGTCGCATCGTCCAGTGTCAACCAGTGCCTCGACGAGGGCTTTGTTACCGAGTTGGCACGATCGGCACAGGGCGGCAGTCAGATCTGCAGGGTCCGCGGCGGATGCCAATTGACGCACAGTGTCCACTTCACCCGTGTCGACTGCGGCTTGGAGCGCCGGAAGAGGCTCTTCGGACGCTTCCGACCCTTCCGTATCACTTCCGAAGAGATCGATGTATTCTTGAGATGGCATTTTCAGGGAATAGATAAATGAACGGACTTTCAACCAAACACACAGATGGCGGGCTAAAGGGGAACCTGGGCATGTTTTAAATAGTGCAAGCCATGGTATTCCGACTAGTCCGCGCCAAAGGACCCTAGCATCCTAAGGAGCATCATCACTGGTGTTCTCCAAGCGAGTGCTTGGCGATGCCTCTGCTGCCTGTGCTGCCTGCTCTAGTGGAAATAGGGGGGCTCAAATGTAAGAGCTTTTCTTATGAAACTGGAACTAGGTCCATTAGTGCTGGATTTAGTTAGGGCTTTACCAGCAGGGCAGCCTGGGGCAATTGTTGGAACAACAGTTCGATCAGAGAACTAATACAAAAAAAGAAGAAGAGAAAGAAGAAAGAAAGTATTAAGTTAGAAAGTATTAAGTTAGAAAAAAGTGCAAAAAGAAACTCTCCCTCGGGGAATCGAACCCCGGTCTCCCGCGCTTATCGGTTTTAATGACAAGCGGAAATCATCACCACTAGACCAAGGAAGATTGAATGACCGAGTTACTGCTCGACCACTTGGCTGGTTGACGTGGTATATGGCCATATTTGACATTATGTCCTAAGAGCCATTTGTATGATTACTTCTCCACATAAATGTAAACCCTTGGAAGGCAGCAATAGTGAACCCCGAGTCTTTAAAGTGCTTCTTACTTTGTAATTAAAATCACTTCCAAATCAGATTGTTAAAAACCGTCATGCGACCGGGACCTGGCTATGCGGACCGTCCTTTTGACCACATCAGGTTAGCAGGTCATTCCTCCCAGCTGAAGATCCGCCCGACATGGCGCAGATGCTAATTCAGTTTCAATGATTCATTTCCCCCGTCTGTATTGGTCCAAATAACGGGTGTCGACAGGAGTGCTTGCACAAGGTTTTACTTTTGCCCGCCTGTCTCTCGTCCCTGATCTACTATTCGACAAACCTGAATGTTGCACTTCGCCTCCCCAGCATTCTGATCTATAAGCACCCGGGTCATTTTTACCCACAGCTGAGTCCTGAGTCACTCGGGCTCTCTCTCGGTAATTTTTAGCCCTTCACGCGCAGACTAGTCAACTGCTTTTAGAAAATCATACGAGTTACTCGAAAGATATATATGCCTGTTCTCCTCCACATTCTCCACATTTCATATCAACAAGGAACAAACAAACACTCGGCTTTGACTTATTCTTTCACCATGGAAAAGGGATAAGCCTTTACTATCTATTACTCTTAACCACCGAATACCTTCCATACCACTACATTTCCCACCATGCCGCACACCCGCCACCACCGAAGGCACCACACCTGGCCACACTGCGGCTCAGAGCTGTGTATGCTGGAGCCTCGCGGCCTCGATATCCATGTTTCGAAGCCGGGTAGAGGGCCTGCAAACTACATCCAGCGCTCATTCCCCCAAGCTACCACCATACCACTCCTCACAGAGGACGTACTGGGAGATGATACCGAGATGGCAGGTATAGTCCGACCACCAAGACGGATGACTAGACTCTGGTTCCGATCTTCCAAGGAAAGAAATGATGGAATCCAGTTGTCGGCATCGTCGGTCGATACCCGGAAAAATGTTCATCGCGGTGTATTGCGCAGACTTATTCGTCGGCCGCCGTTGAATAAAACACAGTCGTTGCTTGTGGTTCCTTCTAATATGACCGGTGATCCCAATATTCTGTCTACTTTGATACGGCCTCAGACGTTGGTACCGCTGGGTGCTGGCTCAGATAGGGGCATATCGACGCTGTCTGGTGCCGATGCGGCGAGGTTCGTGGCTGAGAGACGGCATCGAAGGTGTCATTCTGAACAACCGCGTGCGTGGAGGAGACCAAGTGCCACGCTGTGGACACTGCAGGAACATGAAGAATGATCGTTTTCTTTTTTTTGTTGCATTTTGCATTTATATTTGCATTTATCTCTGCATTTCTGGTCTGATGGAATGGTCCAAGTTCTAATGACGGAGGACTTATCTGAATTCAGAAGGACTTCACGGCGTTAAGAGCACCGTTTGTAGCTTGTATACGAGTGGCACAACAAATAAAATCCAACGCAGTCTGGCACTGGCAGTTGTTCCAATATCCATTTGTAGAGTAAGCCATAGAAACGAATGAGACTCAAGCTGAATGTTCGTTCTCCTGCATAGATCAACCAGGGAAAGACTCCTCATGCTAGATAGTCTGCAATCTGATCGTCACAATACTGCACAAACGTATCCGCAGACTCAGTTCCCCCTTGCTGCTTCGTTTCCATCGCTCGCAACAGATCATCTCTTGGACAGGGATGGAAACGACCCCAGGGGATAATATAGCTCCCTCCATCAGCAATATTAAGCTCGTGAGAAAAAGCCGCCCAAAGCGAAGTATACGCACCGAATTTAGCGTGATATGCCAGAGGTGCTACGAGACACCAAAGAATCACTGAAAAATGCCGGGCGATATCTGTTCTCAGATTCCCTGGATTTTGTACCACGCTTAAGATGCCACTTGCGCCAACTTGGTCTGCCAGAGCCTTTGCCAGAAACCAGTTTCCTACCTTGGTGTTTATGTAATTGCGAGCTGGATCTGTTTCTTTTCGAAGAAGCTCTGATATCTCCATTCCACCGACTGGCGCAGAGATATCGACAACGAGGGATCCTGTCCATATCACTCGAACACCAGCAGGAGGAATGCTTTTGGCCGTATGCAGAAGGATAGGCAGAAGAAGTTGCGTAAGAAGATGTGGCCCGAGGCAGTTTGTCGCCAGCTGGAGATCGTGGCCTTGAGGCGAGACGGACCCTCGGGGAGGATTGGATATACCTGCATTGTTGAAGAGAATGTCCAGGCGTGATTCAGCGCTAGTAAATTGTTGCACGGCTATTTTGATTGTGGTCAAGTCGTCCAGAGAGAGAAAGAGAAAGATAATGTCTGCACCTGCAGAGGATGACTCGGAGATTGCTTTGATTCTTTCAATTGCATGCAATGCCTTCTCTTTGGAGCGACCGGCGATGTACACTCTACCACCTGCTTTGTAGAGAATTTTGCATAGCTCAAATCCAACTCCGCTATAGCCACCGGTGACTATGAAGACTTTGCCTGCTGGGCTAGGGAGATTGGTTTCTGTCAGGGAGGGAGGAGGTGGAAAGAATTGCGACCAGGTTACTCCCATGATAATTGTTATGTTTCTCTGGGTGTCTGCGGTGAAGGTATTTGTATCGATACTGAAAATGCGATGAGGTTCTCTTGTTCCTGGGCCATTGGAATATAACCCAAAGGCAAGTCACACAGTGGCTGTGATTTCTATCCGATATGCACCGAGGAAGTACACGAGATTTCCTTTTTCCAACACCTCTATATTTTACACCGAGACCAGCGCATGGTGTTCTTGCGCCTGACCACCAAGAAAGGGGACAGATGCAGTGCCATACGTTTCAAACGAGTACGTGGAAAATTTAGGCGATAAAAGGTGTATCCGGAAATTGTGACCTCAAGACATGGAGATTGAATTGGAATAATATCACGGCGTGAGAAAGAACACAAAGTTTAACTTACGGGATAAACCCATCCACAGAGATAGTAAAAAGACAGACAAAATTGGATATTATATTCGAGGGTATGATGTTGTGGAACAGGTATTCTTGCCCTGGTTCCTCTCCGGCATCGGAGAACATAATGAGGTACGGAGAAAGGGCACATGGCCTGTCCCTGTGCCAGATAATGATGTCAATATGATCGTGGTTGACCGGGGTAAAACAATGCGCCCTATTTAGACGAGCTCCACAGCGCCCCATAGCGGGCAACGTATTGCAACCCTCCCGGGATGACCGTGCCGAGTGCACTTTCAGCTACAGTACAAATTTGGCTGATCGAACGGGCTCAGTGAGACACGTGTATTCCCCGGTTAGGACGGGACTTCTCGAAGGACGCTAGAAGAGGATGACCGAGCTTGATTGGCGGGGNAGGAATGATAGGGCTGTCTCACAAGGCTACAATATTCGGAGCACATTTTTGTTGATCCCGCACCATATTGGCCTGTTTCGACCCACTTGAGTCATCTGCGAAATACCTGTGGAATGTCTGTTTCCGAGAAAGTGCATAGAATAACCTTGGAAGTGTACAGTACTGTATGTGGTAAAGAATAGGAATGACAGGTGAGTCACAGGACAATGTTCAATATATGCAGGTCGACGTGTCAGTTCAGTTCAAGACTCGCGGTGAATCTGCGGGGTGGGAAGAGCGGGAAAAGAGGCTCCAAGCCAGACACGATGTCTTATTGGCCGGGGAGGGTGCGATAGGGCACTTTGTCGCTGAAATCCCGTGAATCTCACCGCTAGGCCTTACAGGTGGACTCGGGTGGGCTTGATATTGTTCGTTTTATTGGTTAAAGGAGGGAGAAGTGCGTCTGAGAGTCGTGTTAATTGGTTATGCCCCGGTCTTGTTCCTTTGTCACAGCATGCTGCATTTTGGTTGGTTGCCCTACAAGGTATGACGATCAAGGAGACATAAATATCGCTAGTATCCCCCTCAACTTTCAGGCTGTCTTACTTTCAGTCTTGTATCCTCAAATGCACTCTTCCAGCTATCCTAAGAGATCTCTCTCCCAAGCATCAACCAGCTCTACCTCCTCTCGCACCAGTCAGCACTCCCAGAAGAAACGGGACGGATCTTCCTCTCTGTCCTCAAAGATCTTTCTGTCTAAATCCCCTGCTCCAATCGATATTCCTAAGAGCCGTTCCTGCCAGGACTCGACCATCTCTCAGGCTCAAGACATCTCACGGAGCTACCCCGACTTTTCATACTTCCCCGACCACCAATATCACTCTACCAGCCCGACAGAGATGTCTCCCACAATTTCTTCACCTCGGTCCCCAAAGCGTGACTTTGCGACCAAGCAAGGTACAACCTCAGTCCGCAAAGACTACCGCCGTTATAGCGGGACTGTCAACCACTACGGACGGCACTCAAACGATTGGCTTTTTGGTGGCTTCAGTGTTCGTGAGACTGTCCGCGAGGGCATTGAGAAGCTTCGCGGCTCCGACAAGGACAGCTGAATGATTGATGGCAAGCCCACATTGATAAATCCACGGTCAAACTTCTACCGTCGTGTTTTACAACTCTACCGAGGCGCAAAACTATGCGTTTCTCCCGGATAGCTCCGACTCCTTGACTTTGGCGAAGATCAAGGTCTGATCCGCCATAAATGGAAGCTGTTTGGCTCCATCTTCTGAGACTCTGGGGTGTCAAGCCTTGACAAGTATGACCACACCCCTCCCATCGCCAGTCTTGTTTGCATTAGTGAATCGTGTGTCACCGTGCTGCATTTCAATTCGACTTTCAGTCCGCGATGTTATTCATCCGATGCCTCCAATCATATCGTGAGGTTGTCTCGGTCGCGTTTGACGCCTGTGATGGAAGATGTCTATTTTACGTTACACTTTGGCCCTTTGAAAGGAGGTCATTGCCATGTTCCCTTGCAGAAACATAGTTATAAACTTAGTCAATTTGCAATCTATCTCTTCATAAAGAGAGAAGATGCATTTGCAATTCTATCATGAAGTCTCTTATCAATTGAAGTTCTATTCTCTAAAAATGCTTTTTGCACCAACGTAATGAAATTTGAATCACTTGCGTAAAGAATTAGTAGTGAAGCAACTAGCGAGATCGAGAGGGCAAACACCTTGATTGAGATGGCCGTACTACGTAGAGATAGAACAAAATCATCCCCTCCAAGACTAGCCTATAACAGTCTCAAACAGGCAGCTGGAAGAAAGCGCCCGAAAACGGTAATATCAAAGCAGAATTTTGATAAAGTTTCCTTCAGGAAAATGTATGTCCTTACAGAGGTACATACGGACCTTTTAGAGACCAGAACCGCAACCATATTACTTGATCTCAGTAGTAGAAACCGGCTTGATTCCGGGAGCTTAGCACCCCCACTATACGTCCCCCACCCTGTGCATCTAACGGTAAAACCATGTCGCAGCGCTAACCCTTTCCAGTGTCCCTCGCAGGACAATTATAAGGGATCGCGCTTATCTCGACAAGGATTGTACGCCACGTGGAATACACCATGTGGAATTGCTACCCTTGCGACATCTTGATACCTCATGTAGGAATAGAACGAATTCACTGCTCACTAAACTATTGTCTAATCCATCGATGCATTTCGCTCTTATATATTTTGGTCTCCTCCGATTCGTTGTCTCAGATATCGCAACATAATTAATCATATTCCAAGGAAATCAATCTATGAGAGCCACATGGTTCGATCAATCACGTTTATTTTTCTACAATCTATAGTCAACGTACCTTTAACGACCACCGTGCCCGATCCTTATTATCTGATTCCACAAGTGGATGGACTTGCCTTTCCAGGGAGGCCCCGAAAAGCAATCAATCGGGCCCCATTACAGCACGCCATAAATCATTTCAACGATTCCGATCGATCGATTGATGCTGACAGACTGTGCTATATGTAATACCGTTAAACCTAACATATAGGCCACGGGATTGCATCCTATTGGCCGATCATATAATATTACCCAAACTAGCATGGCATGGCATGGGATGAGGCAAAAGGCCACAGTGGTTCGCGACAGATTGTGCCTGTGCGGGCTGCTGGAATCACAGAGGGACCGGCCATCTATGCTCGATGATGCCGCTGACTAGGACTATTTTCCTATCTAAGACTAGTTAGGCTTTGGCTTTTTTGAAGGTCGGTGTATTTCGAGAATCCCGTATTGAAGAGCGTTAACGCTAAAGTTTAGTTAGGGAGGGGTATGGTGATTTACTGACGATCACCACCCGTTGTGCGGATGATCTCTGCAGGAAAGGGGTTGATTCAATCTGCATAGTGATAAGAAGGAGAAATAATCCGCGCGACGACAACTGACAAGGATATGGAGTAATTCGCCGAGAAAAGTGGATATTTAATAGACCGGTGCGCCCTGGACTATTTAACAATATTTGTGATACTCTTTATTACTTTCCACCGCATAAAACGTATTTCCAATGAGTAAAATTGCGACAAAACGAACCAAGGAAAAGCGGACGCCCAAGAACTCCCAAAAATGAAGGAAAGATATCTATCTATCGCCGAATTACGCGCGCTGCCATGCCGCAATGTCGGCAGCGGAGATATCCAAATTTTCGGCCGTCAGTCGCTGAAGGCGGGCCACTTGAGCAGCAGCTAAGGTTCCCGCAGTCAGCATGAGTCCGAAAATGGCAGGGGAGGGGTTAAAACTGAGGCCCTAAGCTGAGAACCGTTGTGGTGGGAGAGGGGCATAGAAAGAGCGGGAGCGAAAAAGAACGCGAAGAGATCCAACGGCCAATATGAGAACAAAGGAACACAGATTGACACAGAAAAGCCAGGAAAACAGGAAAAGAACGACCCACTTGGTTGCTGCGCAGCTGCTGCGCCGGCGTGCACGTGGATTACCGCTGAATCGACGTACTCCTTGGTCACCACGCCGTTATACGAGGCTGCGCTGAGCATCACGCGCAGACGAAACTTGCCCGGTTGTGAAATCGCCAGAGGGCTAAATTTTGCGTATCCGCTTTTTGCATTGTCGGCTCGGCTCCGAACGCTCGCTGTAAGATTGCCGCTCAGGCCCGCTGCGGCTCCAGTACAGGCTTCGTCGCGAAGGGAGGCGTTCACCACTAGGGCTTGGGCGTTTTGGGCTGGGGTCCCGATGGGATTCACTGAAATGACCACCGGGATGGTAAAAGGGAATCCGGGCCGCACAGCTGTTGGGGGAGTGGTCTCGAAAGACAGAGTGAATTCACGACCGGCCATTTTTCGCTTTGTTGGAGGGCGTAGAAGGAGGAAGAGCTCATAGATATATAAGGTTTAAGGCACCTTGATCTACTTTGGCCCAACGAGGAACTGGTGGAACGGGCGTAATTGGTGAAGTATAAGTGAAGTATATTCACAAAGGATCTGGAATAAACCCCGAGTAAAGTAGAGACGAACACGAGAAGTTAAGTAGGATGGGGTCGAAGGGAACTCGGAATCAGAGATGATGATAGAGATGGGATATGAATAGATCGAGCTTGAAGTGGTTCCGGCCGGGACTTCATATACTTCACGGCATGCGCCGAGGGGCCAATACCTAGTCTGGACGCATAACCTTACCAGTTGGAAAAGATTGGACCCAATGTTGCCACCGTCCAAAAGTACGCGATTCGCGTCAATGATCGGTGACCAGGTACCTGGGACGGGTAAGCCAGCCGTGATGCAGTGAAAAAATTATGAGCTCGATTGACTATTCGGCACATGCAGGATCCTTGCCGCCGCACGTTCCGGCAGCATGGGATCGAACAGTGGGGCGAATTGATTCTAGTCCTGTCTTCTGGTCTGATCAACGGGTACGCGTCCAACATAGATGTGGAGTAAGTACGAGATCTGAGGGATCGAGATGCACAGGAGATCTGAAGCTAGTGGCAGGATCGGCCGTAGAGTTCAGGGCATGGGGTTCCACTCTCTCCTGCCTTTTTGATTCGATCCCTTCGCGTCTTGGATGCTTTTTCCATGAGAACTTTGTCAGATGAACGTCTTGGCACGCAGAATCAACGTTCATCCGCAGGGTTGGGAATCCTGTGGATTGAGGTACAGGAAATGGGATTGTCAGCTTATCCATTCAATAGTTTCGTGCACGGATCAACCAGCGGGTCGCTGCTTGACATCCCGGGACCGCTACCAAAAACCGGTGTCTTGTCATTCGATGTCTGTCATTTCAGTTTCTCACGGATGTTACCGTTCGAACCTCCATTGGAGATGTGGCGCACCACTAGTCTGCAGGCATCTCATCTGGGACGTATACCGAAGCTTTATTATCAACAGGAGGTCCGAACTAGACCTAGTTGACCAATAAGAACCGAGTGATCTCCAGGGAGAGCAGACCGCAACATTCGGCTCTCAGGGCCCTCCTTTCAAGAAAGAACTGCAAGCCACAGCATGACAGTGAACTGTGGCGACAGTGGAGGCAAGTGGAGGAGATATTCATCCTTCGGTACCACCGACATACTATAACCTGCAGTAAGCTTCAGTGAGCCCAATTTTGGGAAAATTTTTCTGGTCTTCCAAAATCATTTGGGATTTACACCCTCAAAAGGTGTTGCCTAGGGGGGCAAGGAAAAGGCATTAGGCTAGAGTTAGAGCTGAATTGACAGCCGAGCCCCTAACCACATTGGTTCTGACAAGATGCGCGATCCAGCCTCACCTGGCCAAACTTAATTGTACTCCAGAAACTCGGCATAAAACACCGAATCAATGTATGCTGGATCCGATTTGGCGTTATCTCAGATGCTCCACGTGTGACACTTTCTAGCAGGGCTGCTTTGGCGATCAGACTGTCGATCTCCTCAATAGTTCGCATCATCTCTCGGACCCGCTTCGGACCCGCGAGAAGAAGGAGAAACAAGGTCAGCCTTGTTTGCTTCTATGATCAGGATTCAGGCGTCTCTCAGTTGGGCAGAAGCCTGTGATGCAAGCGCGATGCAAGCGCATGCAGGGCAAAGTATGATTTCAAGATGGAAAGTGACGCACCTGAGGAACAGGTTTGGCGCCAAATCGGACTAGAAAACAAGATCGTCAATGAAGCAGAAGCATCAGAGATTGCGGTGATGTACTCAAAATCGGGACGCCCAACAAAACGTAAGATAGGTATGGTATGTTGGAGACCTTGAATGTGTTGATCGGCAACTATCTGCACAGCCACGATTCAGCCGCAGGTGGCTAGTGATGTGGCTAGAAGGCAAGGGTGGCTGGAGCGGTGTGGCGGTAGACTGTGTATCCTTCCCAATTAGGCAGGGATGAACGGAACCTTGAGTTCCTTGATATTAATGCCGATCGATTGACTGGTTTGATATCACTTAATCATTAGATACCGGAAAAGGCAAAGAGAATATTCCCATCCCAGGGTTACATGTGAATATCTGCAGTCATAAGTTTCTGTCGCTTAGATTCAGCCCTAGAGTATACAATGCGAACTGACATATCATTTTGATATCAGAATTTAGCTTTCCAGTAGCTTGTGGGGGCTATTTTGCCACTAGAGTACAAGTCTAGACTTGTCTCAGAGTTAGGCAGGAATTGTAAGGGCTTATTCCATTTGTCCGAGCCCTTGACTGCCCAAGGTACACGGAATCTGAGCTCAACAACTACATGTGGAGCGATTTTATCATGCAGCTAATCAAATAACCACGAGTAAATGCCCGCCACCAACAGCGTATATGTCAGGTGCGCGCAAGAGGGCCCCACTCATGGATGGCTGTGACCCAAACAGCAGCCCCAAGACGGACTGTGATGAGACTTTTTCAAGATTGACCACCGCATGATGTTCTATGTCAGTCCTGCAGTGTCTTTCGCGCGAACGAACAGGTCTTTCTCGGCCGCCTTGCTCTCTGCCGGGAGTGCAGAAGATGGGTTTGGCGAGCTAGATGCCTTGAGGATCGTCTGAGACAGCATGACCACATCCCGATGCACAAATCTGCAGATTTCACGGGAAGAAGGGACGTGGTTTTATCATTTTAGAGCGGTTGTGTCGTTTCACGAAGCCGTCATCGGTTGAGAGAAATGTAACTTGGACTCAAGCCATAGGCATTTGATCCGCCACTTGCCTTATTTAAACTTAAGTTGAACGAGAAGACGAAACTGCACTTGAATGAGAAGAACAAAACTGCGCCCCAAAGGGCTTAAGAAGGCAACCTGAATATGGATCAGTAAGATCTAAGATGTCGGTAAGGTGAAGATGAAGGTGTAGAATTCGGGTCAGACATATTATGTACCGAATAGAGTATTTAGCGCGCAGGTTATTTGAAAGGTATTTAAAGAGGATGTCAACAGGTATCAAAGAGATTAAACCAAGGCAACATATAGTTTTAACTCTATAAGTTAGTCTATAGGGTTTCTACTAGCTTAGTATAAAACTTCGTACGATATGCTTAGAAAGGCTTGTCTAATTAAGATAACTCGCACTCAACTAAACTCCTAACCACACACCCAAACCCCCTCCTTTATAAGCAGTCTATCGTATCAAAGTGCGGACTATGGTTTTCCTCAATACAATGTAGCGGTGGCCCTATCGAATCATCTCATCTAGAAGAGGGTCGAAGAATATCTCCGAGAGTTCGAGCCGCAGACGACAAGGGCGCTCCTCTTCAGGGTAGGTTTTGTTTCTGATAAATCTTGTATCGTAATGTCTTGGTAGTATATGTATTGAAGGTGTATTAGACTTTGCGCAGCAATAAATCTTGTTTTAATACTCAAGAAGTATTTCTAGACACAAATAATGAAACAAGTCTCAGGCGTATATGGTGTGATTGGTTGCTTGCAATCTTGACTGCATCGGGAGACTGGGATGCCAGTCCATGCTTATTTAAACCCGCTCTCCATGACGACGCTACGCCAAGTCAGAGAAATCAAGCCAAGCATATTATTTTGCCTCCGTCTAGTTTATATGTATATTGCACGATGTAGAAATTCCTAAGGAGCCCTCTCGCAAATCATCTTGTGTTTGAGGGGTTCTACGCCGACACATTTCCAAGGTAAGAGATTTTATAATCAGTGACGCTACGGATTGGGGTTTCGCGAACAATGTTCGAAAGATGTTAGAGATTCCACAATGCTTGAGAAGCTTAGGACACATTCATGATCGTAAGCTATAGATTAATCCATATCCGCAATGAAACTATTGATATTATCGCCCAGAAATAAGACTAAAGCCAAATAAGACTAAAGCCGATTTCATACATCCATGAAGCGGGAGATGGCAGGTAGGCAATTCCGTGAGCTGCTGCTGCCTCGTAGGCATCCCAACCCTCCCCAATTGTGCATGTCAAAGATAAACAGTCTTAACGACACACCATTCTCTATATCCTTACTATTTACTGGAGAACACCCGGCATCAATCGATGGCGCCACTAGGTATTCGACAGAGCCACTCACTTGGACCTGGCACTCCTCGTCCCCCGAAACGGCCGCCGAACGTCCCAGTCGAAGTGCACAAGTCAATCGATCCGAAGGTGTTCGCCGAACTGATGGCCGGAACGGTCGGCATATTTATACTTGCAGTGTTGTTCTGGAAGCTGGGCCAGTTTATCAGAAGATTCAACCAAAACAAGGTGCTGAGAGCAGGCAAATCTACCAAGACCCGGTATGCGCGCACATGGTATGGCTGGGTATCACGCCCGACACACGACAGGAACAAACGGGTCATTCGTGATTTCTTCATTTGGATTGGGAGAATGACCGCGTGGAAGTCCACAAGGGCTGATTATAGTTGGGTCTGGTGGGATCCCGGCGGCCAGGAGAGACAGAAACGCCGATGCGAGCTGAAAAGACTTTGGTGGTTACCAGATTGGTGGAAGAGCTATGATGATCTGCCGTCGGCTGATGAGATTTGGGATCCTTGTTCGCGGCCGGAGTGCCACGGGGCTTTGGTGGATGATGCCTTGTCCAGTTCTGTCAGGGCCGCTGATCCTTTGGAAAGACAACGAGAGCAGAGGGACGCCTTGCTGTCGATCCCGCAGCCACTTCCCGTGTTAAATAACAGCCAACAGCCTATCACTCGTTCGATCATCGAGGAGCTCTTCAGGAATCCCCTAGAGGTTGATAACTCTTCAGATCACCACATAACATTCAATTCACCCGAAAGCAGACCGAAGCCGACAACCAGAGCATCAATTCCATTTGACCATGTCCATTCATTACCCTCACGGCATAATAATTTTTACCAGCATCGGAGAGTGATTCCGTGGTCACAAGGTGATGGGCCTCAAGCCATCTCATGTCAAGTTGAGTCGATTGTCCACCATATGGATATGCAATACGAGGCTACTGCCTCAACCGATTCTTCCACCCCGAATATGCCATATCCAGCTCATCGACACGGGGATTCAAAAAGGCATCGCGATTGGGCAGCCAGGATGCAGATAGGGCCCAAAGTTACAGCCCTGGAAAATCTTCGTGATTCATCTGGTCCTCCTGGGACGCCGATGACTGAACTGTTGGCCAGCTATATATCTGAAGGCAGCTCGTCTATTCGTCTTAGCCCGAAGAGACGAAAGAAAGACCAGGGACATCTGCAGATTTCCGAAGATCGAATGTCTTTCACTTCGAGGGTATTCACGGGTGACCAGGTTCTCTCGTCGAATAAGAAACAGATATGTACCAGGTCTATCCAATGGAACTCTGCACCAGCAAGGAGCCGCCCTCCCAGAAAGGATGGACAGCCGGCCAGAGGGAAATTCAATGATGAATGGCGATCAGCACATGATTCAAGCCACCCTTTATTTGCCCAGATGCCTCGTCGCTCAAGTCCAAACGGGAAAATTAGGCGCACCCGACACTCAACAGATCACACTCAGCTGAAAATAGGAAGGCCTGTCGACAAATTAAGTGACTGGGAGGTCAGATTGATGGAAAGGCTAGATCGAAAACTGGTATGGGTCTCCAATGAATTCAGCCCCGGGCAAAAGCCATATCATTTTGCCTTGCTTGCCAACCATTGGCTGAACAGAGAAACCTGGATCGTGTACGATCCCATATCAAGAGTTAACAATGATGGACGCCGGGAGTGGGGAGACCCTCGCTTCAACGTTCCATATCCGGAGCCAAGTCTGAGTCCTCGACTCAAGTACCCTAGCTCCATCAAGAAGCGAGCGCATACACCTCGGATAGACTCCTGGCGTGCGGCGGTCAACAAGCAGCGGAAGGTATCTGGCATTCGAGATGCTATCCGCAGCATTGAACTGTTTGAAGGGTCGGCGGAGGAACCGCCTGATGGTCATATTGATCCAGCTTGCTGGGCTTTGCCGAAACCGCCTCAAGGCTTTGAAATGTCCACCTCGCAGAAGAACGCCTGGTACGAAGGAGGGGCAGGGTGGCAGGAAAAGCTTGAAGATTGGCAGAACGTTCGTTGGGGATATCGTCTTCGCAAAGGCATCTATGAAGGACGTGTCAATCGGGGAAAAGTGAAGGAAGCGGTGGTGCAAGTCAACAAATGCTACCGCAGTGCATCGGCCAAATTGATTCCCAGCCACCATTCCAGCAAACGAAGAGCTCCAAACCGTCGGGTCTCATGACGAGAGTATCCTGTCTGCACAGCGCAGTTTCTTTGTTTATTTCAGTCCATTACTCTGTCGTTCAACCTGAGATATCACTCGACATATCCATCACCTTCAAGGCTGTGTCATACGCTCACTACCCTTCCCCTTGTTCCATCTCTATCATTAGCATCCCCGGAGTAGCCGGAGTACCAAACACAAGACAGTATATCGAAATGCAATTGAATTGAAAGCCCGATCTAAGCGCTGGGGTAATAATGGAACATTGTAAGCCACCATCCTCTTCAGAATGGCTGCGCAGCAATTCACAAAAGCCAAAACTCCGGTAGTCCATATGTTGTTTTCGCTCCGAGTCCCGTTTCGAAGTCGAGTGTCGGATTTATTGTATAGTACATGTGCGAGGGGCAAAGCATCCCTTAGAAACCAGGAGGGTTCACACGTTGGCTGACGCGAGTCCACTTGGGCAGCTCTGGAGAAAAGGGAGACAGTCAGCTCATCTAATCCAAAAACACAATGACAAGACACAATTGACACTGCTATGATGCATAGTGCTGGAAACATACTGTGAATGCTTTTCCGGTAGCTCTTCTCCTTCTTATCGAACAGAGTGTACTTGTCCTTTGGCAGCATCTCCTCCTCGCGCGGCATCTCCGCGTACCACCGCTCCACGGCCTTGGAGCTCTGTCCGTTACGCGCAAGTGCGGCGCTGACGGTGTCGACGACCCGGTCCACGGAGCGCAGGCGCTTGCGCTGCCGGGCCTTCTGGGGTGAGGAGAGACGCCACGGGGTCTTCCTGTATTCGGAAAGAAATTGTTAGCTTGAGCCTGTTGGGAAGTCTCCTGTAGATCACACGCACCAGAGAAGACCACCGAATAATGCCTGGGTTGACTTGTACATTGTGGTTTGTTGGTGTTGAGATGTCGGGAGAAAATCGTGCGCTGAGTCGGAACTGCAATTGGTCCGTGCGCCCGATGTATAGATGACGAAGAGAGTGTTGTGCGGGCTAAACAAGGCAGAAGAGTGTAATTCGAGGGTATTTTGGCTACATTGGTCAATGGACTTGCTTTAGTTCAATACGTACAGTTTCATCAATGGAATTAGTGTAATGCTGGACTGCTGATTTGCTCTGAACTTCCCCAACCAAAATCATGTGATCCCGAAACAGTGGATTTCCAGGAACGCGACATTTTTCTTCTTCTCTCGACGCAAGTGATTCTTCTGTGGAGTCGCCTCTCCCCCAAGCCAAGCTATCGGTGGCTTGAACAGAGCTGAATTGTCTATGGATTGTTTATAGCACCCTTACAACATCCACCATGGACTCCAGCGCAACAGCAGATTCCCCGTCCCTGCCTTGGAGGGCTGTTTCCAACACAACCATGTGGGGAGTGGCGGGTCTCTGTCGTGGATTCCTGTCTGTCCTCTGTAATGCAGAGTGTCATGGGAAGGAAGCTTTCACAGAGTTGTTGGACTCGCGACATGAAATATCGGAACGATCTAGAGGATTGATTACAGGTACGTCGGAGAAAGGACACGGAATATATCTAGTACAATGCTGATTGAATTGGTTGATACTAGTGTCAAACCATCTTAGCGTGTACGTTCACGCAACTCCCCTCGAGACAACCTATACCCAAACTTCGAAGATAGCTGACATTGCGCCGGGATACCAGAATGGATGATCCATTGATTTGGGGTATTTTGCCTATGCGATTCTGGAACAAGCGGTGGTCATTTGGAAGCCACGATATTTGCTATCAGACTAGGTATGGGCAACTCGTTTCGGCTACCAATGACTGTGCTGACTGGAGCCAAATATAGACCCCTCGCGCTATTTTTCACTATGGGCAAGGTTTTGCCTACCCACCGCCTCGCACACTCTCCGTTTGGTGGCTTAGGACAACCTGCCATCACCGAAGCCGTTCGATTGTTATCCAAGGGCCCGTTCCCTGTTGACCACCACCGCGCCATCCCTGAACGCCAGCATTGGAGCCTGGAAAACGTCTGCGTCGATCCCTTCTCGGACCTCTCAATCGCATACACCACCAACGGCCAGGACGCGCACTCATCCCCTTCCGCGTACTCCTGCAACTCCCATTCGTGGGTGCACATTTTCCCGGAGGGCAAGATTCACCAGTCACCGCGAAAGACGATGCGCTATTTCAAGTGGGGTATTGCACGCCTTATTCTAGAGCCCAAGGAGTGCCCGGACATTGTTCCGATGTGGATCGAGGGCTTCGACGATGTCATGCACGAGAGTCGGAAGTTCCCACGGTTCTTGCCTCGGCCTGGAAAGCGGGTCAGTGTTACTTTCGGATCCAAGGTGGACACCAATGAAGTCTTCGGAGATATGAGGTCGCGTTGGGACAAGTTAAAAGCCAAGGTTGAAAAGAGAGACCCCGAGTCCCGCGACCTGCCACTTGGTGTCTTGAGCGAGGAGCTGTTGAACAACAAAGAAGCAGTTGAGCTGCGCAAAGAGGTCACCTTGAAGGTGCGAAACCTCGTCTTGGATGTTCGCCGGTCTCGTGGATTCCCTGACGAGGACCCCAAGGAGGGGTTGGTTGATACCTGGTTGGAGGAAGGCCCTAAGCGTGAGGGCCACATGAAGGACGATTCCTGGGTTCGAGATATCTGAGCCATTGTATAAAATAGTGTATAAATATGTATAGACCTGCAACGATCAGCTTAGCTTCGACTTCTTTTTAACTTGGATATGGCAGTCTATTGTCGCCACAGTGTCAAAACAAATTCCCCGATATAACCCTTTATATCATTGAGTTAACCTAACGTTAAGTTAGATTGCCTCTACGAATACATGTACTCAATCTCCTATCAATCTATAGACTGATTTGCTGCCAGCAGAAAGATGGTGGCGGCAATAGAACTTTATTTACTTGGGGGGGCGATAAGCGATAAGCGGAGTGGGGAGCCTCAACTTCACCTCCGCAACTTCTCATGCCCAAAAAACACCAGCGGTTCCATACCAAGCCAGCTACTCCTGCCCACCATAGTCTTGGTTCTTCGTCTCGCTATGACAGGCCTGGGGCATCTGTGGCTGCAGAGTCAGTCAATGATCTGATCAGCCACCTGCGGCTGACACAAACACCGAATCCTTCTGAAGATGGGTTACCCCGTCAGCGTCCCTCTCAACGCTCCTTCGTCGCCCCTCGCTCTGTCCATCCTTCGCTCCGGAACCTTCTTGAGCTTCCGGAAACTCCAGCACCGCGACCTCGCCCTGGTGCCCAGCGCACTGCTATCGGTACTCGCCCGCGACGGTTCGCCGGACCTCCTCCGCCTGACAGCTGGCTTTCCGGTAATACGGACAGCACAAATGTGACAGACCAGCATAAATTGGCTAACATGGTGGGTGACTCCGAGCGTGTTGTTCACCGTTTGAAGCGGCTACCAGGGGTCGTGTTCCCCGATCAGAGGGATCTGGTGCATATGGTGCTCAAGTCTATGGCCTTGAATTGGCTTTGGCATTTGAACTATGACGGCCCATTTCTTGCTCAGCTCCCTAGTCATATAAAGGCATTGCTATTGAGTTATGTCGCTGTATATGCCAGAGGCCAGCAGTTGAAAGGACGCATGAGAGGATTGAAACCGCTTCTTCTAATTGAGGGCGACCATGTCCAAGGTGATGTGCATGGAGAAGGTGTCAATGAGAGTAGCATCATTGCTAGTGATGCTGCTATCTTACGTTTGGACCTGGGCAATACGCTGGGACACTGGATGACATTCAAGCAGTTGGCAAGCGAGCTGTTCACCTCGACAAAGCCAGATTTAGACCAAGATGGAGTAGTTCCAGCTTCATGGGATCAAGAGATTGACCAAGACAAAGCTGAGCCTGTTGTCCCAGATGCAGTTCCAACCCCGTCTATTCCAAAGGGTATGACCCAGGGTCTACGCTTCACCAATCTCCGCTACTTATCTCTTGCTCACCCCCAACCTGCTTCGGCAAGCTGGAGTTCCCTCCTAAATATCGTCAGCCGCCTCTCAACTCTCACTCACCTCTCACTCGCTCATTGGCCCACTCCAACCCGGACTCCGGGCGCTGCCACTGCTCGTGTCCGGCACCCATTACACCGCTCCTTGACTTTTAGCTACAGCGGCACTGACAACTACGCCGCAATGGACAACAACTGGGCCGAAGCCGCGAGCATCCTCCGTCAACTTTCACGGTCTACATACTGCCTAAAATGGCTTGACCTCGAAGGCTGTGCCGAGTGGTTACCAGCCTTGAAATGGGTCGGCAATGACCCAGACGGTCACCCATATCCACTGGGAGCCTCTGGCCCAGAGTGGAACGGATCGTGGAGAGATGTGGAATGGATCAACGTGGGCCCTGGCTGGGTTCCTGATCTGAGAGATGATTCGGAATCTCAGCACCCGCCGCGACCACTGGCTTTGTCTGTTAATACGCCTGACGACTCTGATGATTCTGATTCTGCTACGCGACATGAAGAGCGGCTCATCAATTTCCGTCGTGCGAATGAGCTTAAGCTTTACCGGGATTCTTTTCATACTTCGTTGGAAGTGCGTAAACACGTGCGACTGATTAGGAGGGAGGATCGTGGGAAATGGCTTCAAGTTTCTTTCGGGCTGGAGAACGTTGACTCGGAGACGGTGAGCACACTGCTTGGACAGGAAATTTCGGTTGTCCTGTGAGGATTTCACGGATTATTGAGGCCGGATGTGTTCCAATGCATACTGCCTTGTACCTAATGATATGGTCATACTCCATCGCATTGTGACCATGTGAATATAATCTAGATATCCAACGTTGACAATACAAAGACGAATTCTTGCTTTGTCAATTCGCGTGTTCAGCCCGAAGCGACGATCACTAACTTTTACTTTCCAGGCAACACTACGCAAACCGCGAATTGTGGCGAAAAATAGAAATATACTGCATGTAGGCATTAAGACAAAAATCCACATTGAAATATCCCGATTCATGTCTGACTGTACAAATGGTATCACCTCATAAGACCGAAGTTCCAAACTACTTGCGCCGGTTAAACGTCTTGAGAGGATCAACCTTCCCACCAGCCTTGCCCTTCCCACGGGCACGGTTGCGATCTCTCGCCTTGCGAATGCGATTCTGCTTGGTGGACGAGAATCCAACATACCCAGCATTCTCCTTGGAAATCCCCTTGCGACCCTTGGCCGGCATAAGGTAGTCCGGAACATGCTTAAGATGGGCCTGGACACGCGCAGCACGGAGCTCGCCATCATGGCGCAGCTGGCGCAGTTCGTCGGGGTTGTCTTCGAAGTGGCGCTTCAGTTTCTCGCTCTTGATCAGTTCCTGGCGGATCTCGCGGCCTCGTGCTTCTTGCACGGCCAGACGGGTCACGGCGCGCAGTGCGTCGGTCATACGGTAGCGGAAGGCGTCGACTTGTGACATCTCGAAGTGATAGGGCTTGACTTCGTGGCCAAGCTTGGTTTGCCGCTTGATGATCTTTGCCAGCATGGTTTCGTCGTGCTTTGTGCTTGGGATTGAGGTTGGACGGTGCTTGCCGTGTTGCTCGGCTGGCACCACGAAGGAGAGGGCCATGCCCGCCTTTCCAGCGCGGCCGGTACGTCCGATGCGGTGCGTGTAGGATTTTGAGCTGGTAGGGAGGTCGAAATTGAGGACGCAGGCAACGTTCTGGAAGTCGACACCGCGCGCAATGCTGTAGTCCTTTTCTTTGCTGGTCATCTTGCGGCGCTTCTGGGTCTGGGCCTTCTTTTCGCTCTTATCTTCGATAGCCTCTTCGTCGTCGCTGTCTCCCATTTCTTCTTTTGCTTCCTCTTCCTCTTGCTCTGCCTCCTTGACTTCGCGCTTTTTTGATTTGGTTATTCCAAGAACTTCTTGCTCATCCGCAGCCACGATAATATCGTAGACACCCTTGTTGAACTCTTCAACGACGTGAATTCGTGAGTTGATGGGCAATTCTGAGTTGAGGACACAGCTCTTCAGGCCGAACTGTTCCAGGAAAAGCTTCACACGGTAGCAACGATCTACATCTTGAACAAAAATGATAACCTTGCCCTTGATCAGCTGCAACTTGAAGATAACATAGGTCAGAAGGAATTTCTCGTCTTCGGCGCACCTGTTGGAGATCGATTAGTATCTGGTAGAGTGATAGACAATCACGAGAACTTACTTGACGACGAATTGGCTGACACCGGCACCCTTCTCTTCCTTCTCCTCGAGCTTGAGAATAACCGGGTTCCGACAGTACAAGTCCTTCAATGTATCAACCTCCGAAGTAAGAGTAGCACTCATCAGGAATGTCTGTGCTCCGCGAGGAATAGCCTTGGAAAGAGCATTGATCTCTTCATCGTATCCGTATGACAGAACCAGGTCTGCCTCGTCAATAACAAGATGGGTGATTTTGTCAAGCGACAAGGCGGAATTGTTGACATTGCTGTAAACTCGGGTAGGTGTCGACACAACAATATCGGGGAAATCGGCGAGCAAAGAACGCTGCACTTCATCGGACACCTTTTGTGTCAAGTTGACTGACCGGATATCCTTGCCACAGAATGCGGCGAAAGTGGTAATCACTTTCTGGACCTGTTCTGCAAGTTCGCGGGTCGGGACTAGGATCAGAGCAGTTGTGGCTTTCAATGAGGGGTCGGCCTATTGAATCATATCAGTAAGGAGCAATGCCATCATCGGAGAAAGAGGTACGAACAGTCTTTTGCTGGAGGATAGCCTGCAAGATCGGTAGGACATAGGCGGCAGTTTTACCAGAGCCGGTTTTCGCACGAGCTTTGTCGGTCAGCATTTGTATCCATCAGGATATCATCTCGAACCTACCGAGAATGTCCTTTCCTTCCAGCGCGAGGGGAATAGCCTTCGACTGTACAAGAGTGGGCTTGGTGAACTTTTCTTTGATCAGAGCCTGGCGCAGTCGAGGATCGAGATTGAGGGCTTCAAAGTCGAGATCTTTGTTGTCAGTTCCCGCAGCCTCCGGAGAGGGAACGTCGTTTGCATCCAGCTTGCGCTTCATCTTGGTTGTGCTTTGCATTATTTTCTTGGATCTTGAGGAGATTGAAACTTTTCGGGAAATTTTGTCGGGCGGTGAGAATGGCGCGGGCGGTGAGGACGATTAAAGTATGAAAGATGACATAAGCATTGATGCCTCAGGCGGCAGTGCTGTCTGTTGAAGCATCAATTTTGGCCTGACCAAGGACATAGAAGTATGTTTTTATCTCATTTATGCATTTGTACATTTACGAATTGAATTAAGACATAAAAGATGCCTCCGTTTGTCTCACATATTGTTTACAATCAATTGCGAGAGCAGTCACGTAAAAAAAAATAGCAATGCACGTCCAGTACTCAAAAGAAAAACATTGATGGGACAAAGTGCAGTGCCATTTAGTAGATAAGGCACAATATGGCGATTAATTGCAACTGGATGTACTCATCTGACGTTAGTAGAACAAAAGTATTCAAACTTTTGTTTTCCAATGTCGAGCAATACCATGTCTCGATAGCTTACTCTTTACTGTATAATTTACGACAATTGTTACATTGACAGCCTATCACGCCAAGCAGGTGGGAGAGATCTACACTAGCGCGGTGACCATGTTTACTGGCCGTGCAGGAAATAGGCTCTTGTCACATCACCTCTCACACGACTGAAGGCGAAAAAGCTGCCACAGTAGGTCGCAAAGATTTCTACCCAATAAATATGGCTTCCCTGTGGTTGTACAGGGTATCTGGATCGATCACAATGTCACTGATCTTACTTCTTTGTTTATTGCAACGCATCCGTTATCATCGACGGTCAGACAAGACGCTAGCTATCGTACAGCACAGGAACAAACTGGTTGGTTACTACTTGCAGAAATCCGCCTTGTTTCTATAGATTGCTAACATATCACAGGTACTGCCTGTGGCCCTCCTTACAATTAACTTGGGAGTGATTTGGTGCCTTCTGTTTAGTAATTATCCTGACACAAGTCTCGCCACTATTATTGACTCTACTCTGTCACTCGTAACGACGACTGCAGCTCTCTCGCTCCACATCCTCGAACAGAGCAGATGTGTCAAGCCATCAGGCGCCGTACTAGTGTACCTCGCATGCTCACTAACGAGAGACCTTTTGGAGTTACAAGTCATTCCAAGCTGCCTGAGCACTGGCACTTGCCACTTGGTCAAATCTAGGATCTGTATCGAGGGACTCTGGCTGACTTGGGATCTACGGGCCAATGATTTATTCTCGCGTCTTGGCCAAAAGTTTGCTTTTATTCCAGAGGAAGCAGCCGGAATCCTTAGCCAAATATTCTTCTGGTGGATGCATCCGTTGCTAAGGGAAGGGTATAGCGCTAGGCTGAATCTTGCGACTTTACCCGAGATCGACGAAGCACTTTCATCACAAGGACTGCGAAAACGAGCTTTAAGATTCTGGGTCGGACGGTGTAACTCATTGAAGCCATTTGAGGATGCAGTGCAGTGCTGACATACGGTGCAGCAAATCCCCACACAAGATGGATGCTTCCATATGCGCTAGCAAGATGTCTCAAGCGTCCATTGTTGTCACCGATACTTCCACGCGTATTTCTCATCTTATTCACATACTTGCAGCCCATCTTCATTGGAACAGCAATACGATTTGTCAATGGCGCGTCTCAGACCATTCTCGGTGGAGATAGTGGCTTTCGATTGGTGCTTTTTGCTACGGTGGTGTACATGGGAATAGCGGTACGATACTTAAGAGCCGTGTGCGGCTTTTCTATCGATCTGATGATATACTATCTAGGTGTCGGCGGCAATCTACCAGCATGAAATCAATAGACTGCGCGTTATGGTTCGGGGAGCATTGATCGGTCTCGTTCACCACCAGTCGCTTCATTTGCCAAATGAGAAATCTCAAGGCTCATCCCCATTGGCATTAATTACCTCAGATATTGACAGCATCGACTCCGTGGGTGAGGTTTTCCACGAGACCTGGGCCCGGCTTATAGAGGTAGCTACCGGGACAGTGCTCTTGGCCGCTCAGATCCAATGGTTCGCATTTCTACCATTGATAATAATCTTCGGTAAGTATGTATCAAGAAGGAACGGTCTGAGTTTTGAAGCGTATTAAATTTTACCCTTAGGATGCTCGCGGATGAGTGCGTATGTCGCAAAACACTTGGGGAACCGACAAAAAGGCTGGAACGAAGCAACGCAGAACCGTCTTGCCGCAACAACCGCAGCCATAGAAGGAATCAAGAGCCTGAAGATGATGGGCATGGAGGATGCAATCCAGTCTCAGATATTGCATTTGCGAAGCAATGAGATCAAAATGTCCAAACGCCTACGATGGATTCTGGTCGCCTACAATGCAAGTGGTACGTATCAGGTCAGATTGACAAATATCATTCCCTTGATTCTAACTTTATATTTGAGCAAATGCACTTGGGATCCTCGCTCCAGTCTTGACTCTCATCCTCTTCCTCTTATCCTCTCAAAACGATCGAATGCATGCCGATCAAACCTTTACATCTCTTGCCCTTCTAGCGATGGTAACACATCCAGCCAACATGGTCATGACTCTCATTCCACAGGCCATTTCTGTTATGGCAAACTTTGATCGTATCCAGACTTTTATTAGCCAAACGTCCATTCAAGATGCGCGAGATGTCTCTCAGGGAGACAGTGCTCAACAATTCGTTTCAATGCAAAGCGTAACGGTAGCAGCTCGTCCATTATACAATCCTATACTCTGTGATGTTGACTTAGCAATCACAAGAGGGGAAATTGTGGTTTGCGCTGGTGCCGTTGGAAGTGGGAAAACAACGTTAGCAATGGCTGTTCTCGGAGAAGCCACTATTACCACTGGGTTGATCTGTGTCTCTTCCAAGAAGATTGCGTATTGCGCTCAAGAGCCGTGGTTGCCTAGCGTCACTATCCGTGAAGCTATATCAGGACGTATCGTTGGCCTAGATATCCAGTGGTATAATATTGTGATCGAAGCCTGCGGTTTGGTGGCAGATTTCCATTCCTTTGTCGCGGGTGATATGGCACTGATAGAGAACAACGGAATGAACCTCTCTGGGGGGCAAAAACAGCGTATAGTACGAAATTTGTTGCTTTGCTTGTGGTCACTGCTTAGTATTGTTTGCTAACAAATTCACCAAAGGCTTTGGCCCGGGCAGTCTACTCGAAATATAGGATGCTTGTCCTAGACGATCCCTTCAGTGCCCTTGATGAAGGTGTCACAGGTCACATCGTGCAGAGGCTGTTGGGCCCACGAGGTCTGTTTCGAAAAATGGCGACTACCGTGCTTTTGGTCAGCAATTCTAGTGGGTTTACAACTCTGACTATAAAGGTTGATTCTTCCTCTAACATCAAAAATTGGGTAGGAGAGATATTTTCGATTGCAGACCGAGTGCTGCTCCTGCAGGATTCAAGGCTACATCACCATACCCACCTTCAAGATCCGAAAGCTGCTTTCGGGCTTCTTACATTGCCTGCAAATCTCATCCACACCCCCAACCGACCGAAGGAGTTTGGAGGTTTTGGAAAGATCCGGAAACTACATCTAAGCGATGCTGAGGACGATAGCTCTCGGAGGACTGGGGATATTACAATATATGGTATGGTATATATCCACAGCCTTTCTACCAGATTTTACTGATCCCAGAAAGGGTATTATATGCGCGCAATTGGCTGGTCAAACGCTCTTCTTTTGATTGGCTGTACGGCTGGTTTCTCATTTTGTTCTACAGTTGCTCAGTATGTTCTCAAATGGGCGACAGAATCGCCTCGGGACAGAATTGGGGTTTATATGTCTCTCTACGCTGCAATGTCGTTCATGGGGTGGGCGGCAACTAGTGGAACTGTGTGGTAAGACCTTCCGCTGTCGAAGACGGTCAATATTGCTAATCATCTTCAGGGCCGCTCAAATCAAAGTTGCTGTCAGGTCAGGGGCTTTTTTACACGCACAGCTTCTTGATCGAATCCTTAAGTCCGTTTCCGACCTCGGCGTACCTTTTTTAGAGTACTGATCGTTCTGAACTAGGGCCCCTCTGTCTTACTTCACTGGAACTGATATCGGGGTCATTATGAACAGGTCTGTAGAGAATTTTTGTGTTGAAAACATGCATACATTATACCTATGCTAATTTTTGATATTCAGGTTTGGGCAGGACATAAATCTCGTGGATAAGCAACTTCCTCCAACGCTGGCAAATCTAAGTACCCGTCTGCTTGTCACAATCTCGACTTTTGACCTTTCCACTGACAGTTATTATCAGAAATCTTTAAGCTGTTAATGCAATTGGTGCTACTCTTAAAGATCCGACCAATGATGACTCTCACTGTGCCAGTCTGCGCCATATGCGTTTATTTCATTCAACGGATTTATCTTCGGACATCTCGACAACTACGCTTCCTTGAGCTAGAGTCCAAAACATTTTTGTTCACGAATTTCCTAGACACGGTATGTGTATCTGTCACGATGTCCGAAATTTTGCACATCTGATTATTAACATAGGCGAATGGCATTGTTACAATCCGGGCCTTTGGGTGGAAAGACAAATTCGATAGCGAGAATGTGAAAGCCTTGGACCTATCTCAAAAGCCATTTTACCTTCTTCTCTGCCTACAGTGCTGGCTAAAGGTGATACTGGATTGCATTATCACAGGGTTTGCAGTTCTTCTGATTGCGTTTACCGTCTCCTATCGAAACACCACAGCCGGTGCCGATCTTGGTTTGGCTCTGAACTTGATAATTGTCGCAAACACCACGCTACTGCGGCTTGTACAGTCCTGGACATCCCTTGAGACTTCTTTAGGGGCGATATCTCGATTGAAAAGCATACAGGACTGTGTCCCAACTGAAGATAGCGCTAGGCATACTCTGGATCCTGGCCTGCAATGGCCCTATTTTGGAAATTTGCAAGTCAAGGATATCTCAGTGGGCTACAAAGTCCACTCCACTTACCCTACGCAATGTATCTCTCACCGTCAAGCCTGGACAAAAGACCATTATTGTGGGCCGAACAGGGAGGTAAGCAGGCAAGACTGACTTTTTCTCTCTTTTGTGAGCATTTGGCTAATTACAATCTCTCGATAGTGGTAAGAGCACATTGATGCTTTTCTTGCTACAGCTTCTTGGGCCTGGGCAGGGATCTACATTGATCGACGACATCAACATCACCCACATGTCGCCGAGAATTGTCCGAAAACGTGGGTTCATTGCAGTGCCACAAGATGGCCTCATAATTCCAACGGCAAGTCTACACTTCAATCTAGATCCTTACCACACGAGCTCAGAGCAAGAAATATCCCTGAGCCTCCAAAGGACAGGTCTTTGGGATAAGATCCTTTCAGCATCCGCCGGTTCGGCTGAGAAGGCAGGATTGAGTCTCAAAATTCGAAGTCTGCTAGATCTTCCTTTGTCGTCATTTCTACCATTCTCGGCCGGACAGCTACAACTATTTGCCTTAAGCCGAACACTGCTGAGGATTTGGGCTTCTACCCCATACAAGCCGATTGTTATCTTGGATGAGGTCAGCTCTTCGTTAGACTCGGAAACAGAGTCTATTCTGATAGATATCCTCCGAGATGAGCTCCGAGATTACACTGTTGTTATGATTGCACATCGCGTTGCTGGTATCATGGGTGCTATGAGACCTGGGATTGATGCAATTGCCACCATGCAAGATGGAGGCCTGCAAACTGTGTCTATTATTGCCAGCTCTGGATGATTGAGAACTTTTTACCTGGCATGGAGGGTGGTCAGCTCAGATACCGAATAGGTTACCAAAGAAAAGACATTGCGTTGAGATGTAATCCATTCGCATCGTAAATCCAGTTCATTATGTACATGACCCAAACAATTTCCCACACATGTCCATTCCAATCCATAAGTCAATGGGCAATACAATTGCCTTAAAAAAAAAGAAGAAGAAAACGCTGATCCCATAATCCATAGTCCCTCCGAGGTCCATATTCTTAGTCAGATTCCGTTCTCACGGGTATTGCGTACACAAAAAAAGAAACTCAATCATGCCAAAGCTCACGAGTACTGAGTCTCGCCTTCGCTGTCACTCAGACTGTCACGACGACGGCTACGTCCATCGCGACGGTAGCCCTTGGTTAACCCGGGAATAGGGTGCTTGTAGCTCTTCGTGCCAGAGTCTTCGGTGTCGACATTGGAGTACTGGTATTCAGAGCGAGAACCAGCCGATGAGAAATCAAGCGGCTCGGTGAAATGGCCTGGAGGGTGGGGGTGGGAGCGGCGGTCCTGCTTGCGGGGACTGCTGGTACGAGATGATGGAGCGGGAGGTGGTCCAACCTGGCTGCGACGGTCACGACGGCGGTTGTGACGGCGGGTGGATGGGTCGCGAACGCGGCGCTCTTCGGCCGTGTGGCTGATGACGTCCTCGCTGCCCTCTGTGAATGAGAATCCGGAAGGATCGCGGCGTTGACGGCGAGGCTGATCGTAGGCAAAGTCGTGGGCTTGGCTCATCTCGCTTTGTTGGTAGGAGGTTGGCGGGGCGGAGGTGTCGTAGTCACTGCCGTGATAGGTTCCGTCTGCTTCACGGTTCATGCCACCAATGCGAGCAGGTTTTTCTTCACGGTATGCGCGCACATCGGCATCATCGGCGCCTTCCCATTGCTCGTGCTTGTTGCGGCGGAGAAGCTTCTCCTTCGCGGTTTCTCTGAATCGCTTGCGTCGGGGTTTCTCTTCCGTGACGGTTGTCGCTGTGTCGGTGTATGTTTCATTGGTGAATGAGTATCCATCGTCGGTGTAGCCCTTGCCAACCACACTTCCACCGCCAAGCTTGGTACTCTTTGTAGCATTACTGAGAGTCTTTCCGTCAGGTCCTTTCCGTCGAAGGACAGTGGACTTGTAGTCATCCCAATCGCCCTTCCGCCACACAAATCCACCATTCTTGGCCCAAAAGAAGAACCAGATTGCGCCCAGGACAAATAGTGCTCCAATAATAGCGAACAGAGCCATCAGACCTTGCATCTTTATACTGTGTGGGTCGACTGTACCCGCTCCACGGACTGGGGTTTGTTTGGTTGTTGTCGAGTCGGCACGAGCAGCGAGTGGATGAGATATGATATTGAGAGAGGGCGAGGTGTCGAGGGTACCCTCATTGCTGGCATCCCGAACGTAGAGCCCGGCAGCTCCCACAGCTGGAATGCTGGGGAAGTCCCGATTCTCTGGAACTGGAGCCATGATGAAGAATCAGAGTGGTCGAGAGCGCTGTGGCTCAAGACGGGACCCTCTGGATAATAATCAGTATTCTGTAAATCCTTGCAATCGAGTCATGAGCTTACATTGAAGCAAGTAATCAGCACCAGATCTAGATATCGATCTTTGATCACTGGAATGTGGATGTGGAATGTGGAACAAAGTGCGGAACGTCTAGCCGGGTGTCAGTGAAATCTTGAAGATGCAAAGACGGGAATACCAAACGAGATATATTCCAGCCTAACCTGAGACTGCACGTAATTGAGGAGGTTGGAGGAGGCTGGGGATTGTGTTTACTGGGCGCGTTGCACGGGCAACCCGCTTACATCATCCCCCACATCGGCCCGCTCGATCTATAAAAGCGTCGATCATATTGATTCACTTTATTTTGATGTGTAGCGGTATGATTTCATTTCAATTAGATATCAATTATCACAAATTACAAATCACAAATCACAAATCATGGAGGGCCACCCGCTCGAAATAAGCCTCTGAAAAAAGCCATCCCTGATCGAATCCTGCGATCGCACCCAGACAGCTAGCGGGGTATCAAAACCAATTCAATAAAAGGCAGTGTAAGATCAAAGACAATGCTAATGAGAAAGCCAGCGCAAACTTGCACAAATAAACCGAATCAATAGAAACAGAGTCCCAAATAAAACTACGAAGCCCAATCAACCGCAGCCAGTTACAATCAGAAAACACGAAATATAGAACGTGGATATGGCCAAAGAAAAAGATGACCTGGTGTTGAGACATGACAAGTAAACAGATATGGGTATAATCTCTCTCCGCCACTCGGAGTTGCGAACAAAGTAAGGAGAAAGACACAGGCCCAATGAGAAAAAAAGGCTATACACGAACGCTGACAAAAAGGAGACATCAGAAAGTGAAGCACATCAGACTTGTCATCGCAGGTCATCAGAATCGTACAATCATATCGCCATAACGGAGACACATCATCAAGTTGTTCGTGCCCAACGTTTTGCCCAAACACACACAGACACACGCAAAAATAGACAGCAGTTGCAAATGAAATCACACACAAGTCCTCCCAGTTTGGCGAGGCCGCCTCGCAGCTCTGGACCGCTCGAGAAGAGATCCAGCCTGCTGTCTAGCAGCCTCGCTGTAGGTAATTACCCTTGATTTTTTGTTTGTCCAACCGCAGCACCCGAACCCGAAGAAACGCAAACATATGCAAAGCAATGGAACTTTTGACAAACTAAACAGGCCGGCCCACTCAACCAATGGCTATGCAGGCACATACAAGACGGAATCATAACAAAAATGGAACACAGCCATAAGGAAAACGTGAAAAGCAAATTGAATAAATCCACCAGATGGGACCCGGATCAATGATAGCGAGTACTTCCGTAGGTAGACTGGCTAGAGCGGCGAAGTGCACGCTCCGAACGGGTGTCTCCTCGAGATCGTCGTGATTCTTCAGGGTCCCGGCGGCTGGAGCCGCCCGTATAGTCAGAGTTAGATCCAGTCAAATACTGCTTGGGTCGGGGCCCACCAGCGATGTTCAATCGCACGGCGTTGCCCGCCTCCCCAGCACGAATGTTGATGGACTGCCCTGCAATCGTTTCGTGGTTAAATTGCATCTTCACTCCATTCACCATGAGGGTCATGTTCTTGTCTTCTTCCGTCCTTGAGCCTGTGCCGCTGCCACGGCTGCTGTTGGACCGGCTCTTCTGACTGCCACTCTCACTCCCCGGGCGATTGGTGGTTGCCTTGGCGGGAGCGGGGAGCATGGCCTCTGCGGAGAGAGGCACGTTGGCAGTTGAGTTTCTGCCGGACCGTGCTGCCTGGTAGTTCTCGACTTCACGCTCACGATCTTCCAGAATGTCACCGGCATTGCTCGACGGTTCATCGTAGTAGTACGTGGTTGGCTGCCGCCGCCGAGAGCTTGCCACAGCCACCTGGGCGCCACGTCGATCGTCTTGGTAGGACGTAGACCGTCTGTGGCTGCTCCGTAGGCTGTGAGTTCTCTCTGGCAGGGCAGTCTCCCTTGACATTCGACGATGGGACCGATCCGTCACCACTGGCAACTCCGCTGCAAGATCCGACATGTCCAGTCTGTCCATGCTTCGGTCCATGCCCCGGTCCATGCCTCTGGACGGGCGACGTTGCGAGGGCACAGCAGTGGTGGTTTGGGCCTTGCGGGGCTCAGGTCGTTTCTGCTGATGAATCTGCGGGGCGGACTTGGGCTTCGGCCTGGGCATTGGAGGTGGTGGTGGGGGTGGCATGCGATAGAAGTCCTCATCCGGGTCCTGGCTGTGCGCTGCTGAAGCACGGCCATAGGCCTCTCGTGAAGTATAACGCTCCAAGGGACGCTCCAAGGGGTCACTGTCATCGTACCAGGGCGAGTAGGCGCCTGAGTCCATGGCCGGGGGCGGGTGTCCATAGATCGACGAAGATCGACGGGGACGGGACTCACGTGGACGGGACTCCCGGTGCCGGGACTCAGATCGCTCTCGTGGATATTCCGAGGGAGCAGCGTACTCCGATGGAGTATAGTAGGAGCCCCCGTATGGAGAGGACGAGTATTGGTTGTGCATGTAGGCCGAGCCAGATGGTGGAGGGCCATGGTAATCGTAGCCGTGGATGGGCGCCTGGCTGTAGATAGGTGATGCCATTCCCGACCCCATCCCTGGTGGCATTCCGTGGAAACTCATAGGTCGACCGTTGGAATGGTAGGTGTGGTACGTGTGAGAGCGACTGGGTCGACTCGGATGGTTGACGTGAATATTCTCAATGACGCCGGCGGGGTATCGGGCACTCTGTGGGGACGGTGCGTAGTCTGGGACTGGAGGACGCTGTGGGATATAGAAGGGAGCTTCGACTGGACGGTGGTCGGACTGATGGTAATGAGCCGGAGGAGCGTCGTAGAAGGGGTCGTTATAATAGCGGGTATGAGAAGCTTCATGTCGACGAGACTTGGACGACGACCTTGGCGCGTGAGCATGATGGGCGCCCGAATAGGCACCAACCATTGTCTCGTCGCGCGTCGGTCTGACTCGTTCCTCCTTGCGTTCTCTGCGGGTGGACGACTTCCTGGCGAGGTCGCCCCGTTTGGACTCCAATTTAAGAGGGGGACTTTGTCCGCCCGATGGGCCGGATTGGGTGCTGTTGACGGTGGCAGCGGTGCGACTAGAATAACCTGAGTCACTTGCGCCGTCGATCAGCGGCTCTGGGAATAGATCCGACCTGGCTATTTTGGCAGCAGAGTTGGCTGTAGCATTGGCAGTCATGCGAGTATTAGGTCGAGTGGCATGGGATTCTTCGTCATAATCTTCGACGAAGGCCGGCCGGGCCTTAGTGGCCATAATGTGGGCTGCGGGTTTCCTAAGGGAAAAAAAGAAAACAGGGTTAGTCCCGTTTCCACGACGTGTGTGGCCCCCTTGATGTTCAACGTACAGCAAGCCACTGCTGCCCACTTTGACGATGAGTCAGAATGCAGTCTTTTTTTCCCCTCAACCCCGATTGACGGAGTTCCTTTCTTCCCCCAAGGCCAAGTAAGCGGACCTGCCGATCGCAGCGGGCGATGGCAGGCGACGGAGTCTGTCAGCGAGCGGAGGAAGCGTAGTACTTTCCAGAACGCAATGTCTCCATCGAAAGAGGTGGGATGTTAGGCGACAGTTGGCAAACCGATCGGGCAAGCGTTGGGTCGTGGGGCATAGAAGAAAGAAAAAAAAGGAAAAGAGAGCAAAAAACCACAAAAGGACCTCTCTGGCAGACGATGAGTGGTGGAGCAGCTGCAGGAGTGAGGTTGGGTTGAGAATTTTGGGATGCTCTGCCTGACGGTCTTAGAACTCAGTGGGGAGAGTGGAGTCGATGGGCAGCGATAAAAGTGAGGGGCGATAACGCCAGTAGAGAAGAGAACAGAGGACACGAGAAGAAGGGAGAGGAAGGGAAGAGAGAGAAAGAGAGAAAGACAGAGAGATAGAGAGATAGAAGACAGAGAGGGAAGAGAGCGGCAGAAAATAAAAAAGAATAGTTCAAAGCCAAAAAGAGAGGTTTCACGAAGAGGCTCTCGGGTGCCCAACTGAAAAAAAAAAAAGAAAGTGGGGAGTCAAAGACTTTATTTCTTATTTATTTCGTACTTACACTGTGCTCTGTACTATACACACACTACACACACTAGAATGTATACTATATATACTTCTCTGTTTACTTTTTTACTTCTTTTTAACCTCGGGACCCGCTAGGATCCCTGGTTCTCGATAATGTTTCCATGGTTGCCACTTCTTTATATTCGTTCCTTCCTTTTTTCCCGTGACGTCGTCCGTTCCATCCCTATTTTCTCCTAACATCCTAACTAACGCCCAATGTCGGCCCAATGATCGCCTCCCTATACAAGAGTCTGTTATTTTCCACCCCCGACCATTGCTTTCTGTTTTATGTTTTCTTTTCTTTTCTTTTCCAGTTCTCAGTACTAGTACAATGTCAATGTATTCGGTACACGGGAAAAAGTCGGTGGGGATGGATCCCTGCCACCCACGCTGTAAGTACAACGAGGCCTAGCAGGATTGCCACTGGAGTGGAGTGTGAGTCAATATGTAATTCCCACTCCCATAGACGTCAAACGGCAGAACAGAGGAAGAGGGACTGAGCACTGCATGGCATTCGCTGTCGTCGGGCGCGTCGCACATGTGGCAGGTTATCTTTGGATGTTGTGTTTTCTCCGCCTGCATTCTCATTCGTGAGTCATACAGAAGGACTACTGTATGTGCATTATGGCCAAGTCCTACGTCCTGGTCACTGGTACTGGTACCGGTATCCAAGTACTTCCGAGAGAATGGATCATACTACAAGATAGCCGGTGCCTTTTTTCGGGAACGAACAAAAATGGCTAGCTCGGTATGACATGCAGCACGGACGGTCTATCATTGCCAAGTTGGTGGATTCCTTTATATCCCTTGCGTCGTTCGACCCAAGGTTCCATGAACCATCCCGCACGTGTGGAAGAGATGTAGATGTGACAATGTAATTCCAAGATTGCACCATGCCGTTGACCCCTCAAATACCATTTACCGAGAGTAAACCCGGGGTGAATGGCTACAAGGGCGGGGATGACGCCAAATCTAGTGGAGGCTCAAAATACTGGAAAAGAGCTCCGCTCCAAATATATCCCGGGATCTCCATGCGGCTCCAGGACTAGAACCCCTTTTTCCCCAGTACATTTGACATATTTGACGAGGACGATTGTAAGCGGTCTTAGCATCGGGGCCGAAGTATCAGGAACATGCCGTGCGTGCCGGGGCATATCTAAATTCGAATCGCAAGGCAGCTTCAGCTAATAAGCTTTGGTCGCATATCAACGATCACGCTCCTCGTGATAACGAGCGCCATCGTTATTGATCCATTGCTTCTCCCCCTCCCTCGGGACGAAAAAGTAGGTCAAGGAGCCCCCTTGCTTCGTGGTTCGGCAAGATGGCATCAGCTCCTCGAGGTCAAGACCTTCACCGCTAGTTCAACAATGCTGATAACTGCCACGGCAGTGGAAGATGAGGGGAAGCACGGCTGGAACTATCCCTACTTAGGTTCTAGATACTGCTTTAGGGCCTTTAGTGTTGCAGCGGGAAGGGAGGTCGTTGAAGAGGTAAAGAAGTTCTGGGTACATGACTTGCATGTCTGTAGATCGATACTCAGATCGCCCCATAACAGGGCCAGACTAGTCGAGACTAGCCGGCTTTTAGGTTCTGATACTTTTTCTTTCAACTGCTGTCTGTTCAGAATGGCCCCGGCACGCAATCGGCGATTAGGATCATCTGATGTGGTACGAAGCCCAAAATCCTGCGAGCCAATCACTCCCGGTGATGCATAAATATTAATATACCGTTGAGACGCTACGGCTTTATAAGCATCTTGCTGCCTTTGGAATTGTGGTGCCTCAGATGGGGGCGTAAGTGGCTGCCGTGGATAAAGTCCCCGAAGGAGAGTTGCAATTGTTCAACAAGAACTTAATTCACATAATGACAGTAATTAGAAATGACCAAGCGCTGTTCTCCTATCTTAATATGTACCTAGAAAGTATATACTATTACAAACCCACACCGGGGAGATCTTCCCGGTTATATGCTGAAACCTCAGTATCTGCGCAGATACAGAGCAATCCATCCAAACAGCCGATAGACAGCAATGATGCCAATCAGAATCCCAACCCATTTAGCTGTCCGATCAGCGGCATATCCATATTGTTCCAGCACCGCATCCCCACGGATCAAACACTGATCCGCCAAATCAGTGGTGTACATACACTGACACTGATTACCACAAGAGTAAGTCCTCTCAGAAAACTCATTGACCATCATGCCCTGGAAAACGTATGCCTGAGAATTGAAAAGTCAGTCTGGCAAGAAATAAAGGTCTGATAGTGCGCTGGCCTACCTGATAATCGATGTAGTGGAACACATATTTCCAAAACGGATTGAGAATCGTCGGCGCGACCAGAAACCCTCCAACGCTCATCCATAGACCATTTGCAAATGCTACCAGTGCCAAGGCGATCACGAAGTTCGGGAATATGGCTGTCACGAAGACGACGAGGGACTCTGCTGCCACGAGGTCGAGGAATATCCACATCACCCAGGTGAAGAAGGCTTCCCCCGTGGGTCGGAAGTTGGAGAGCCAGTATGAAATAATCGAGAATAGGACTGATATAATAACTGTGGATTGGTTAGAGGGGTTTATGTGGCAGGGCGGACTGGGACATACACAGGAAGGGCAGGCCGATGAGAAAGTTCGAGACCATAAAGGGTGTTGCACCGTACAGACCGTTGGCTCGCTCTTTTGCAAACGTTGCTCGGTCTTCCAAGAAGGCTGGCACGTATGCCACGGCCATGAAGGACATGAATGCGGAGCCAAAGAACTGCATGTTGTCAGTGAGTGGTTATCAAACATGATGATGTTACTCACAATAGCATTGATAAACGGCTGAATATACTCCTGCGACGGGTGAAGACGAAGCCACACCGTGCCCATCATAATAGCCAAGCCTGTGTCTCATTAGCCTTGTATGCTTTCAACATGGCATAATGATCCTCACCAAGATACATCACGATTCGAATCCCATAAGCAACGACATCGCGATAAGACTTGATAAACGAACGATGAAGCAGAGCCGAAGTGATTAGCAACGGTCCAGGGCGAGCCATGTCATCAATCAGTGCGTTTTCACCATCCTTGTCCACCAACCGGGCTCGGTCTGAAACTTTCCTATTCATTGCCTCGCTCGCTGCTGACTCTGCCCAGGCAAACTGTATGGCTTGAACTCGTTCCTGGGCCAACTCCTTGGAGCTGTTGAAGTCAGCGCTGACAATATCCAACAGGAACTCTGCTGGATTGGTGTTCGTCGGGATTGGATGACCAATGTCATTGAAGTAACTATCCACAGCAAGGACTGGACCAAAGTAGCATGTTCTTCCGGCTGAAAGGAGAAGGAGCTTATCGAAGAGCTGGAAGGTCGTGGTCGAGGGCTGATGGATACTGGCAATAATGATTATCTACAATTATTAGTGCCTTCACAAGCTTATGCCAGAGACAACCAGATACTTACATTGTTGGCCCGTGCCAGCTCCTTTGCATATGACATCACTTCAAAGCTCGCAGTCGAATCCAGCCCACTGGTTGGCTCATCCAGAAACAGAATTTTGGGACAAGTGATAAGCTGACTAGCAACGCTTACACGACGCTTCTGACCACCACTGATACCCTTTCGGATTGGTGTGCCAACTAGCGTGTTCGCCTGGTTCTGTATACCAAATGCGTCCAAAAGTGTCTGGATCCGATCCATGCGTTGGCGTTTCGACACCGAGCTATGTGAGACACAATAGTAAGTACCAGGTAGGACCGAGACCGGGGAGAAGTAAATCCAGGATGGCATACCTAGGCAGCGAGAGATCTGCTGCGAACTTCAAGGTCTCCTGCACTGTCAAGGATCCGATCAACGCATCTTCCTGCTCAACATATGAATTCATCCGCTGGAAAGCCTTCGAGTCTACTTGTAAGCCGTTGACATAGCTCTTCCCGAGGACCTTGGCTCCAGATGACGCGGCACGCCGAGCCAACACGTTGAGCAGCGTGGTCTTTCCACAGCCCGACGGGCCCATTAAGGCAACGAGCTCTCCTGTACATCAAGCGTCAATATCAAAGCCTTTGGGTAGATGATGGACAAGGATACATACCCTGCTGCACATCACCGGCGATGTCATTGATCAAATCGCGAGACCGCTTCGTCTCACGATCCTTGACCGTCACCGTCAGACCTCGCCACGAGAAGTCGTGCACGGTCTGGTTCACCAGAAAGTGGCCATTGTCATTGCACTCCAGGTCCATCATCCTGGCCTTATTTGGTGTGGGATCGACCATGCTGCGTGCCGGTGCAGGGTGTTTGACGGCAGATACGAGGTGATTTGGCTCCAGGCCGCCCCCGCCAGGTTGTCGGGTTTAGCATTTATATAATTCGATTCCATCGGGGTTCAGCTGCAAACACTGCAGTGATTACGTATCCCTGTCCGGTGGAGCATGACCATCAATAGTCATTGTTGGCCAGTCCGAGGTCCCCGATTGATCCTGAAAAGTAGGGCTTGGGGGGCCGGCTTACCTAAGATTTCCTGGTCCCCGGTTGGATGGTTGGTACGGTGTTCATTTCGTGGACTTCGGGCATCAGAAAGCCCTGCTTATTCCATGGCTGAGTCCAGAGGGCCTGAATCAATAAGCCAGCCAACAAACACATATTAACGCCGCATATTATCAACGGCTTTGTCTGACGGCGTCTAGGGCCACGTATTTGTCGCCCGGGATTTGCTCCACATTTTTGCACGACCATTGGAAACTACGAATCTTCGAAAAAAGCAAACAACAATGGAAAGCTGAGGATAATCCTGGTAAGAAAGAAGCATAATGCCATTTTGCTTGCCCCGCTCTTGGCGCCCAATGCAACTAAAAGGTATAGCTTAAAAGAAACTGAAAGAAAACACCATCCATAAAGTTGATATTGAAATTACATGCTGGGAAAAGTTAGTAAAGGGATTTAATAAGAAAGGGAAGAGACTAACCGCTCAACGGGGTTGAGGCCGAGAATCCGCATGCCGTTGTTCAGAACCTGGCGGGCGGAAGCATACAGCGCCATGCGAGCCTTCTTGACCTCGGGCTCACTGCCGATAACCTTGAGCACATCGTAGCTAGAGCTGAGCATGTGGGTCATGCGGAACAGGTAGCTGAGGACAGTGACGGGCTCGAGAGTCTTAGCAGTGTTCAGGAGAACATCAGGCCACTGGGCCAGAAGACGGACGAGATCAGAAGCATGCTGCTCGGTCAAAAGGTCGAAGTTGGCGTTAACCAGCTCGTCGGCGTTCAACTCAGACTTGCGGGCCATTGAGCAGAGACGAGCGTGAGCGTATTGCAAGTATGGGCCAGTATCACCTTCAAAGGAGGTCATGGCATCCAGGTTGAAGTCATAGCCGTTGATGCTGAAATGCAGTTAGTATAAGAGAGGAAAGTTATCAAAATATGAAAGGATTAGATTCCACATACCGCTTGCCGGTCATGTCTTGCACCATGACGGAAGTGATGCCGAGAGTATCGGCAGTCTTCACGGGGTCCTCGACCTGCGAGTACTTGACTTCGTTCTTCTTCATGACTTCGTGCATCTTTTCGCCAACGTCCTTGAGGATATCGTCGAGGAACTTGACTGTTCCCTTTCGGGTACTCATTCCGCGGACCATTCCGAAGTTGATGTGCTGGCAACGAGAGGCAAGGTCCTTGTGGCCCATGAGCTCGGTGACCTTGAAAAGCTGAGCGAGATGCAGATCTTGCTGGGCGGCAACAACGTAGATCATCTTATCAAAGTGGTACTCCTCGTCACGCTCGGTGATAGCACCGATATCACGGGTCAGATAAAGAGGGGTACCATCCTTGCGAACAATAATAGCCTTGCCCAGCTTCTTTGCGCCATGCTTGGTAAAGTCAACAATGACGGCACCCTCAGACTCCTCAGAAACGCCGGCCTTCTCCATGAGCTTGTAGGCTTCGCTCATGCTCTCACCCTTGATTTGCGACTCACCGGAGTAGACGTCGAAGTCAATGTTGAGGCGGGCGTAGGTCTGCTTGTACTTCTCGATACTAAGATCACGGAACTTGCGCCATAGAGCGAGGGCCTCGGGGTCACCGTCCTCCATGCTCTTGAAGTAGCGACGGGCCTTCTCATCCTCGCTGACGTCAACAAGCTTGGCGAGCTGTGCCTCCAGTTCAGCAACGTCCTCACTCTTCTCCTTCTTGATCTTGATCTGCTCCTTCAGCGCCTTGATGGGCCCGTCGTGTTCAGCAACGAGACCGTTGACCTTGACGTAGACATCGAATAGGTGGTTGATAGGGTCCTTGGTCAGAGCCTCCTCATTACCGAAATACTTAAAGCCGTTGGCCAACAGACCATACTGCTTACCCCAATCACCAAGGTAGTTCATCTTGATGACATCCCATCCCATGACAGTGTAGAGGTTTGCAAGGAAACCACCAATGATGGTGCTGCGCAGGTGGCCGGCGTGGAAGGGCTTGGCGATGTTGGGTGACGAGAACTCAATGATGATCTTCTTCTGGCCCTTGGAAGGGTCTGATGGGTCCTTCTGACCCTGGTTGCCGTTCGTGCCATACGCGGCCTTCTCGGACAGGATGCGACCAAGGACGGTCTTAGCCAATGGCTCGGTCTTGCAGAAGAACTGCATGTGAGGACCGGCAACAGAGGGCGGGTGAATGAGATCGGACTCGGGGAATTTTGAGGCGAGCTCCTTGGCCAGCTCCATAGGGTTTTGCTTAATCTGGAGGGAAGCGACCTAGAATCATCCGATACAGTGTTAGTTCCAGTCCACGGTGGACATGCGACATAGCGCTTTCTGGGCACGTACGGGCAATGAAAGGTCACCCTTGTCCAGAGTGCTGGTCCATGCAAGACGAGCATAAATCTTGGCAGCATCAATGCCGGTGGCATTTCCCAATTGCTCCGCAATGTGCTCACGGTAGATATCCATGGGGTTCAAAGTTGGGAAGCATCCGGCGAATTTGGACTTCTGGTCGGTCGATTGGAGGGTAAGAGCCGCCACGGAGGCGGGAAGGGAGGCAGCGGACGCCATTGTGTAAGATCGCGACGTTGCGAGAAATCGAGGTCTTGGGTACGTAGAGAGAGAGCGCAAAGAAAAAAAGGCTGTGAATCGCCGAGCCCCGCTTAGATGACCCATAAAGGAGGGGGAACTTGATCTTTTTTGCCCTTTCTTTTTTTTTTTTGCCCGATGAGTCAAGCCGGCGGTGAGTCACGTGGGACGGCATATCTATACTACGCACAGGTACACACTGATCTATCCACATATTGAGGTGAACTAAATATACATAGAAGTACTTGACTGGAAATCCTGCGTTGTTCTGGGTCCCAGGTTTAAGGTCCCTCACAAGAGACCCAAGAGGGAGAGACAAACATTGACTGCACATATACCGTCCGGCTCTCTCATTGTTTTTCTTATTTGATCCCGGTTTTCTTATATCTAACTGCCTCTAACTATACCTTTCATACTTTCATACTCCCATACTTACCTCCTTCCTTGATTTGAGGAATCAACGTTGACAATTCAGGCCATTATATGGTACCCGTGCCGCCAATCACATCGCGGGCTCTATATCTGACGTCACCAGTATTCCTGATATCTACTCCTTATATATACCTGTTTATTTCTACACATGTCATCAGCTTCTACATAAGCCTAAATCCAGAATAAATATGGGCACCAGTCGTCGCCAGTCGTCGTTATCCAAGTCTATCCAGTCCGCGTTGACTCGTGAGCCGGACCAATTCAAGAAGACCGCCCTAGGCAAATTGATAGCCTTCTTCTCCGTGTACCGCATTAAGCTTGTCCGCCATGAGAAGAAAGTCTTTGAACAACTGCGCCAGGATGTCTGGCAGTTTGACGAAGATGAATACAAGGGAAGCTTTCATACAACAAGAGGGCAACCACCGTTGAAGGCGATGGGCGACTTGGGTTACTCGGGCTCGGTAAGGCACCAAGTATACAGTATACTGACTTACTTTTTCTGACCTGGAATCTAGACATTCTTCTCAACTCTCGATGCACATTTTCTTGTAAAAAGTCTGCCAAGACATTTCGAGTATTCGTTCTTCGAAGGAGATCTCCTTCAGCCATATTATGAATATATGTCTGAGCATCCAGATTCATTGTTGGTTTGGATCACAGACTATATTATTGCACCTTACGTTTCTCTTGGAACGATCTTTGGTTGCACTCCAGCCCGTCATATAATTATGGAAAACGCACTTTGCGGTAAAGACGAAGACCCAGCAGCTGAAAGATGGGAGACCTACGACTTGAAGCCGATTGACTACTTTTACCCCGAGCGTGACCTAGTACCAGAGCCTCTTGTGAGCGAAGGAACCCTCAGCAAGCTGGCAGATACTTTCAACGACAAGCTCCGTCTCTGGCGTGCGGACTACGAGAAATTCTGGAAGTCAATCCAGGACGATACCAAATTCCTACAGGACGCCAATGCGGTAGACTACTCGTTGTTCCTAGTGCGGATACCTGCCTCGTCAGAGCCCACAGTTCGAGGACGAGCGAGTCCTTGGAGGATAGGACTTTTATCCGCTGATGGACGGTGGAAGTATCGCGCATCTGTGCTCGACTTCTTCTATGCCCGGCACAAGTTGCAAGCTCAAGCACTTTCGGGTGTGGTGCAGACATTTAATGTTATTGGTCGACAGGGTCCCATGACAATTACAACCACGCCAAGTGAATATCGTGAGAAATTCCTGGCTATGATAGAAGAATTGATTGAGGTTCACTGAGCAGGGAGGCTCGGAATCTAGCACGCTACGTCTTATATATTTGATATAACGTTAGTCATGTTACTTGTCATTTTGCAAGGCGAAAATTTCCGTGACCATATTGATGTTGACTGTATTTGATATTACGCCCAGTTGCAGATATCGGTGTCGTGTCGCGTATCTCTTCTTTTCTCGCTCACTTTTCTCTCTTCTCCCTCTCTCTCTCCTCCCAGCTTTCTTGTGCATTGTCGCTAAATATGTATGTGCGGCGGATTAGTTATCGTCGGGGTGCTGAGGGGAGTTTTGCGCGTCTGCCTGCTTCCCAGCTATGGATGAACTTGGAAGTGTTGCCAAACTTTTGTATACCCCGTTTCGCAGTTGGTCTTGCGCGTGCCCCACATATTACCGGAAATCCGGCGATTGACTATCGCTGGCGGGGATTGTGGCGGATGCATACAATATCGACAATCCACTCGCTGCCAGTGTTGGACCCCAGGGTCCCATGGCTTGGACGTGAGTTTACACAAGTTCTTACGTCGTATAGATATTCTCTCACGATACTCAGCGCGGAGTTCAAGATTTGTGCTTGCTACTGAGACATGAAAGATATGCTCCATAGAGAATGCGCGACTGAGAGAATATTCATATTTTAATATTGCCGGGTATCGGTTATTTAGAGTTCAATTATGTGTATGGTTCTTTTATGGACCGAGCTCGTGTTCGTTAAATTCTAAACTTAAATTATAGTCCAACGGCGACATGGTACCTTGCAGCCCTAACTATAACCTCTCAGGGGTAGGAATACCCCGATGCATTGACCGCTCAGATCCCTGACAGACACAGCAAGAACACGCAAGATCTTCCGGGATCAGCTGCCTATTTCTTCCAAGATCGGCCGGAGATGCGAGTAGGCCAGTGGTGGGATTAGGCACTATTGAACAGGTTCCCTACAATGACAGCGATCGGCAAGTGAGTTTCTCTGTGTACAGTCCTGTACAAGTAAAATGACAAAAGTAGCGGATATATCGGCTCTCAATACCCCATCCACGCTATGTCAGACAGAACGCTAGTGGCGTCGTGAACCAACGGATGTAAACTGTAGCATTGCCAGTTTCGCTATGAATTCCCCACTTGATTGGACTAGGTCGCCTGCGTGTTGCCATTTAAGCCTTTTGTTCCTGTCTGCCCTCGTTCCCCACTATACTCTTGTACAAATCGGATGTAGCATGTCCAATTGCTGTACTTGTAGGCGAACGCGATCCACGGACGGGGGCCTCCGCTTTGATGCTCGGGTCCGACTTTGCGTGGTGGTGTGAATACATATAGGCCTTCGTGCGCTGTGCACTCGAGCGGTGTTCCTTTTTGTTCGAGAATGGCTCTCGTTTCGGTCTTTACCTACCCTTGTCACTCATTCTAGCATGGGTCTTCATGAAAGTTACCCCGCGTACGGTGGTAGCGGCCCCAGCGACTTTCGCTTGGGTATTGCTTTGGGTACAGTTGCGACTGTTTTTATGGTGCTGCGGGTTTATGTTCGTCTCCGTATGAACAAATTTGGAACTACGGCGTTGATATGGTCTCTCGTTGCTTGGGTATGGACCTTGATCTATACAAAAGTTGCTCCATTAACAGACGACAGTTATTTACTGCTATCACTCAAATCTTCGGTATTCTTTCTATTCTCCACGGCCTAGGGAACCATATCACCATCGTTATAGAAGTCGGCGAACTACGCAACTTCCTTCTATACACATGGATCACGGTCTTTTTCTTCAACCTAGCGATTCCGACCGGCAAGGTCGCGGTGGCTGCTTTTTTGGTTGAGATGAACTCACAGAGCAGTATGTATCATCAGACTATTGCGCTAGCACAGCTAACAGCCTGCGTCATATAGATCCCAAAATCCGCCGCAGTCTCATCGTCGTCGCTGCTTTGAATATTATCTTTAACATCCCCCAAGTCCTCCTGGTCTGGGTTCAATGCAGTCCTCCCAATGCTCTATGGGATCCCCTCCGCCAGAGTCAGTGTGACCACGGCAAGAGTGTATACTATACCTACTTTGTTGGTGCCGTGGCCGCCATCTCGGATATCTACCTCGCCATCATCCCAATCACAGTGCTGATACCCCTACGTATTGACAAGAAGTTAAAATGGGGTCTGAGTTTCCTCATGGGATGCGGTGTCTTCGCTGGCGCTGCTGCAATTGTTAGAACATGGGCTGCCAAGTTCATCATGAGCGAAGACTCATCCTGTAAGCCGCAACATCTATCCAAACCAAGCAATCGCTAACATGATAACAGACGGGGCGGGCATACTCTTTCGCTGGGGCGAAGTCGAAGAATGGATCGTCCTCATCACAATGTCAATTCCACCTGTATGGCCACTCTTCCGGCCGTTGACCCATCGCTTCATCAGATCCACGGTCAACCGCAGCCAGCCTCAATATAAGCAAAATGGCGATTATGGTAATTACGGCTCTACAACTCGAGGCAACCAATCCATTGCGCCGCCGGTTGTCACGACTACTATTTCTATTTCTTCTCAGAAGGGCGCTACGGCGTCAGCTACAATGGCAGGCCCGTCCTCTTCCGCAGACTCGCTTACGAGATTTGGGGAGGAGGCTGAGACGCCTCATACTATCTTTAGCCATAATGGTGATCCAGAAGGCTGGGTGGAGATGTCGCATTTCAAGGAGCAGAATCGGATTTGAAGTGTGTGGTTCTACTATGCCTTTGTGTTTATGTCTACACTCTTTATAGTTCACTCTAATGACCTTTCTATACAACAACTTTTGTGCTTGCAATTTTAGTGATGCGGTGTAAATGGACAATCAGCACAAGACAGACAATATTGATTGAGTTCACTCAATTTAGTCTGCCAATGGAATATAAACTGTGCAAGGTCAATGCTAAACCACGCGCAGCCTCGGCAATTATCATGGACCGAGGGGGTCTGGAACTGGCTACGCATCGCGGAATCTCAAAATTGAGTACTGCATACTGGTTGCATACTCGGTGCTAAAGTTGCATCTTAGCGAGCTGAAGTTATAGCGATGTGCCGCGGGAGTGGGACAGCCTCTTATTTGATAGCAAAAATTTCCTAGCGAAGATCTAGTGATCCGGAAAATTGTGGGACAAGCGTGATTGACTGGGATTAATTGTCACGTTCAATGGTCGTCGGTGGCTTTGTGCTTTGAGGGCCGGAACTCGCCGGGATGGCGGGCGAACTTCTATATCGCCGTCGGTGTTGGTTCTCTTAGGGTTGGTTGCATTGATGGGTGGGTCGCCAAAAAAAGAAGCTATAGCTAGCATCACCCGCCGCACCATGAGGAAAAAGAAATCAGACTGCACTCAGGCTAACCCCACTAGATGTTCTGCAGTATGACCAGGGGTATGAAGCAGATAGAAGCTTCCATCCTCAAACCATTTCACCGCAGGAAAGCGCCCAATCGTCGACTTTTTCTGGCCATCATCGAGGTTGATTTCCCGCAGCGTGCGCACCTTCCAGTCATCAGATTTGACTGGGAGATCAGCTTGCTCTGGCCATCCGGGAGTGAAGCTACTGGTGAACCCCGGTCCCACGATCAGACCGGTAGAGCTGGGGAATCGGTGTGGTCAAAGTGGAAGTGCGACCAGATGATGGCGTTGACCTCGTCCAGGGGTATCCCGTTCTCGAAGAGGATGTCTGAGACATTGTGCGGCGAATGTTCCTTCCAGCCGCTACTTGCTGTGCTTGTGCAGCTCTCGGCAAATGTCGGCGCGAGGTTGTGGCAGTCGGATCGGATGAATAGGTCGCATGGGTGCGTGATGAGAAAAGAGTACGAGGGCACTGCTAGACGGTCGTAGCCTTGGATCTCCGGGGTTATGAACTGCTGAGCTGGGAATTTTAGGCGAGCATCCCTGTAGGTAGGAGATGATGGGTAGGGCGGAAAGCTTGAAGCAACCTATGAATCGATGAGGGAAACCTCGACGGTGTTTGTGGGCTGGGGTAGATCAAGCGATACCATTGTAGATGGTGAACCTAGTTCGTAGTATATTGACGATTCGGTGAAGGACAATGTTGAGAGATCAATATAAACATCGATCTACCAGTCATAACATACAAACCAGCCAACAGTTCCGGGGCAATTATGGCACGTGCCGTGGCGTGTCATACATTGCAGTGGTCTTCTATCAGATTAAGGACCAAGGCGAATGGGAATAGCCTCTGATAATTTGTACAGTCAATAACAGTGGGAACATAGATATTAGAACCGAAATCAAGATTAATAAATCAGACATCAAGGCTCCGAAAGACATCTTTTATCTCCCCAGGTGGGGTTCTATAGACACCTCTAACCATTCCAGACAGATATACACCAGACAAACTGCTCTGCAGTAGTTTACCAATCCTGTATTTCAATAGCTCACACAGAAAGCATGCACGGCTCGAAAGTAACAACTTTTGTTGATCCGGGACCCTAGAAGCAGAAGACCTGGTCCTCGAGCTTGCTGACAGGGCGGGCCTTGGTGTATCCAAGAGCCTCGGTGGACTTCTTCATGGCGCTGACCATGGGGGGAGGACCACAGAGGAGAATCTTGACATCGGCAGCGGGGGCGGGGAGGCGCTCCTAAAGTCTAATTAGTACGGTCACAGTCACACAGCCGGGACGCACAACATACCTTGATCATGTCGGGGGTGACGAAGCCGACACCGCCGGTCCAGCCCTCGGGGGGGTTGTTGAGGACGTAGTAGACGCGGAATCCCTCGTCCTCCTTGGCCAGCTTCTCAAGCTTCTCCTTGAGCAGGATGTCGTCCGGGTTGACGTTGGCGAAGATGAGGTCGACCTTGGTGGTGTCGTTTCCACCGTTGCGGGGACGGTTGCGGATGATGGCCTCGATGACCTGGAGCATGGGGGTGATACCAGTGCCGCCGGCGATCATACCAATGTGGCGGCACATGTTGGGGGTGTAGACCATGGCGCCCTTGGGACCGCGGACCTTCATGGTGTCGCCGACCTTGAGACTGGTCAGGTACTTGGAGATGTTACCCTGGGGGTAGGCCTTGACCAGCAGGTCGAAGTAGCCAGCCTCGTTGTCGGAAGAGATGGGGGTGTAGGAGCGGACAACCTCCTTGGGTTGGCCGGCGATGGTTGCAGCGAGAGAGATGTGCTGGCCGATGGGGAGACCAAGGATATCGGTGGGACGCGGCAGGGCGAAACGGTAGATGGCGACATTGTGGGAGATCTCGTTCTTCTCCTTGAGAACAAAGTTCTGGAACTCGGTGGGATTCAGGACCTTCCGGGGCGCCGCTACACGGTATTAGCTCAATTCCTCGGTAATTAGCCGACGGTTGACAAACAAGTTCTGAAGGCCAGGAATGCAGCGAGAACACCGGCGACAGCGACAGCATAAGAGACGAATTCGGGCTTAATGGCGTAAACACCTGCGACAAGCAGGACGGAGGGCGCAAGGGCCGTGCCGATAGTGGCGAGACTAAGATAATCAGCCGAGATCAGAAGAGAACAGGAACAGGGCAATTTACCTCATGGTGACACTGGAGAGAAGGTTGAGGGTAAAGAGAGAAGAGAAGTCAAGAAAGTCAAGAAAGTCGAGAGAGCGGAGAGAGAGGAGTGACGGGCGGAACCCCAACGGAATTTGATACCCTTTTGAGGTACCCCGCGGGATATTTACTTCTCTTTTGTTTATTCTATTCTCTTCTATCTCTTCTATCTATTCTATCTATTCTATCTATTTTACAAAGTACAGTATGGTTATTGCTGTTGCTAATATGACGCCTGCTTTCAATCTCACAGACCTCGACCACCAACTCTTGGCCATGACCGATGAGGAGTTTGTATACCACGACTGGGAAGACCTCAAGGACATCATCGGTATGTCTCTCTCCCTCTTCTCCAAATTGGGCTCCCCTCACGCGCATCAGCCCGGAATGATCTCGGCGCCTTCAGGCGGAAGCCTTCCGATTTGCGCCGATATTTAGCGTGGAGCGCAGACACCAAAGCCCAATATGGGTCGATCATGAACTATATCTGCCAACGGCGACTGCAGTGGCAAATGCCGCTGGATAGTGCCGGCTCTGCGGCTATTCAACGTCCTGTGGCTGCCTTCAAGAACCCGCGTCCCTTTGCCGATCCGGAGGACTACAAGATTCTCCGCAATGATTGGCCCTACGGGTTGACGCCCGGCATTTCGCATCTGGTTGTTTGGTTGCGTACACCTATTGCGGTCAAATCTGAGGAGGGTCATTTGACGGAGGAATCAAGGTTGCTGATCGACACGTTTGTTCGACAGACTTTCGTCGATCGATTGGCTAAGGATCCGAGAATTACCTCGGATGCTGCTTCACATGTCTTGTGGTTTAAGAACTGGGTTGGCCTGCAGAGTGTGAGGGCTTTGGAACATGTTCACATTCTTGTTCGTGATGTGCCCGAGGATATCTTGTTCGAATGGACGGGCGAGGTTTGATTTCCCCGGATTTGTGCCTTGTTGATCAGGCTTGCATCAGCGTATCATAACTTAGACTACACGCATTTCAATGAACTCGGGCTTTAATATTGAAAGTCAGCAATTGCTTCGACATGGACTACTTGATCCTACACACTACTTTCGAAAGAATAAAAGAAATCACATAGAAAGAAATCCGGTATCATGCGCCAGCCCATCCACCGAAGCAATGATTACAATATACAGAGCAAAAGAAACTCCCCTCACGACTTCTGCTCCTCCACGAATTTCAGTGCCTCCTCTCGGGAGACCACGTCAATCGTACTAGCCTTCTGTCGGAAGCTGACTCCGTAGCACTTCTCCGCGACGTGCAGCATCTCAGGGCGGAAGGTAGTGCAGATGAACTGTCCGTTGGTGGAATCCGAGATCGACTTGAGCATCTGGGCGACAGCGGTTCGGTACTGGGCGTCCAGGTTGGCGTCGATCTCGTCGAAGAGGTAGAATGGTGCGGGATCACAAGCTTGGATGGCGAACACGAGGGCGAGGGCGCAAAGACCTGTAGGATGGTTAGATATGAATCGAGGCTGGGTTAGATGGAAATGCTTACTCTTTTGTCCACCACTCAGCTGCTGGATCCGCTGCTGATCATCGTGCTTGCTATTAAAGCTGACACTGATGCCAACCCCGACGTAGTTCTCGACACTTTGGCGAGCTTCCTCATCATCGGAGTCAACATCATCCTCGGGTCGCGCGTTGCGGTCCGTCTTGCGCTGGATAATGAGGCGACCACGGCCGGCCGGAACCAGCTTCTCGAACACGTTGTGGAACTCGCGAGAGACCTGCTTGAATGTACGCTCAATGGCCTCGTCCTTGCGCTGATCAAGGACGGAAATAAGATCATCGATAGACTTTTGCGACGCGTCCAGCTCGGAACGACGCGAGGTCAAAGTCTCACGTTGCTTGGTGAAACTGTTGTACTGCTCAAAGGCCTTCTTGTTGACATGAGAATATTTCTTAAGGGCCTCGTTGGTCTTGTGGAGTTTTTTCACGACAGTGTTGGAGTCGGTGTGTTGGTATTTCGTAAAGGCTTCATCGGGAAGCACACCCAGGGCACGAATGTTGGCTGCGCACTCGGCGCCTTGCTTGGTAAGTGCTGCTTTCTTTTGCATACTCTTCTCCATACGTCGCTGATGCTTCTCGATGGATCGAGCGAGATCTTCAATCTCACGGCGGGTCTCGGCATTGCGCTGTTGCAGTTCAACAATACGAGTATTGCCTTCCTCAATAGAGGTATCCACCTGCTTGAGGCGTGTGTTGAGCTTCTCCAACGCCTGGCCAAGGCGCTTCACTTCACGTTGTACCTCCTTCAAATTACCCTGAACTTCCTCGTCGGCAATGTCAACATCTCTGTTGAGTAGTTGGTCGAGGCGAGGGTTGAGGTTCTCCCGGAGCTCAACTTCAAGCACCGACTTCCGTGCCTCAAGCTCACTGCGCTGGCTAGACAGTTCTTGGTATTGACGGCGGAGATCCTGAACCGTGCTGCTCAGAGCCTCAAGTCGAGCTTCTTCCTCGCTGGTGAGGGCTTTCTGGAACGGCGACGACAATTCCGCCTCGAAAGCGCTCACCTGATCGTTCAAAGCCGCCAGGTTGGATTCGACATTCCGAAGGGCGCGGCGCTTGGCGTCGAGGGTATCATTCTTGTTCTGAAGTTGGTCACGCTTGCCCCGCAACTCTTGTCGCAGTGGTCCACTCCGGTTCTGCACATTGTGTCTCTCCTGCTCAAGCTTCTGCAATTCACCAACGGCCTTGGTGATCATCTGGTCAAGCTTCTCCAGCTCCTTCCGAATCTCAGTGCCGCGGTTCCTCTTTGTTTCATACTCATCTCGCCACTTCCCTAGAGCCTTGACTGCGTCTAGGCGGGACTGGCGTGAATCGTGGTATCCACCAGTCAGAGCACCGCGCTTGTCTGATCGATCACCCTCTGGGGTAATGGCGTTGACACCATGGCTTCGAGCGTACTGCGACGCAACTTGCAAGTTGGGGCATATAATTGTTTTGCCAAACACGTGCTGGAAGGCTCTCTCATACGCAGGGTCATACTCTAGTTTTTCAATCATGGGGATTGTGTCACTAGCGCGAGGCATGTTCAAGGGCCTTGAGCGAAGTCGATTCAGAGGCATAAATGTCACACGGCCAGCCTTCTCCTTTTGTAGAATCTCAAGGACTTTTGTGGCGGTTTCATCGGTGTCAACGACGTAGTGGAACAGGCTCTGTCCTGCCGTGACTTCGACGGCGGTTCGGTATCTGTCGTTGACATCGAAAAGTTCTGCAAGGGTACCGTAGACGCCTTCGAGGTTATACTGGCGCTTAATTCGTCGCACCGCTGCTGTTCCACGGCTGGTGTTATTATCCATCATTGACGAGAGATTACGCTCAGCACGATCAACCTCCTGCGATGCGTTTGAAAGCACAGAGTCAAGCTTCGCTTCTTCTCTCCATAGCTCCTTTCTCTGGTCCATCAAGCGGTCTCTCTCGTCTTTAGCATCTTGAACTTGTTGATCAACGGTGTGCATCGTGTCACCCCGTCCATCGATCTGCTGGCGCAGCAGTTCGGTCTCCGGCTCCAGGCGAGCAATTTCGGTTTCCAGTTCCTGAATGTCTTCCTTGGTCTGAGACACCACATTCTGGACTGCTTTGATAGAGTTGTTACTCTCCCTGACTTCCATGTTCAGCCACTTGTCGCGCTCGGACTTGTTCTTGAAGCGTGAGTTACGGCCCTGCTTCGCGTACAGACGCTGGCGAGATGTTTCGGCATCTGTCAACTGCGACTTCACTGTGTCTTCTTGATCTTTCAAAGCATTGAAGCGAGGGAGGATTTCCTGGTGTTCAGCTTCGCGCTCCTTGATGGCATTTTGAACAGAAGTAAGATCAGCGTCGTAACGGGATTTCAGGGCTTGGGCGGCAGCCTGGTTGTCAGAAAGAGACTTGGCCTGCAGTTCGTTCTGTGCCAGAGTCTTGGAAGTTTCACGGCGTTCCTCTTCCAGTTGAGCCTTGTCGACCTTCAGAAACTCAATCTGCTGCCGGCATTCGGCGATCTCGGCATCAATCTGAGCCATGGCCTTCTCGCCATCGATGAATTGGTCGCGGTTGTTGTCTGCATCTTCGACGCCATTCTGTCGTCGCTCCTCGATTTCATTGAGAACCTTGCCGATTTCCTGCTGCTCAAGCGAGTAGATAGTGTATTCCAAGCATCGGCGTTCCTTGTCTTTTTCTTGGTAGCTTCGAAGCTCATCCTTTTCTTCTTCGAGTTCGGCAAGTCGCTCGTTGATATAGTCAAGGAGTTCGTCAATCTTGGTCCGTTTGCTGTTGGTTTCGTGCATGATTTTCAAAGACTCCGACCGACGAGCCTCGTAAACCTGTGTACCAGCCACTTCCTTCAACAGTACCAATCGTTCGGAGTCCTTCATGTTTGTCAATGCGGTGACTCGACCTTGGGGGACAATATAGTAAGGATTAGATCGAGAGAAACCGGCCGACTCAAGGAGGTTCATGACATCGTTTTTAGTGGCATTCTTGCGGTCGAGTGTGTATTCATCTTTCTTGATACCGATAGTACGGCGGAGGACAAGCTCTGGCTTGCCAGTGGGGAATCGATCGTCGGAGTTGTCAAAGATGATCTCGACGTAAGCGGACATCACAGCAGAACCGGAACCTTCCTGCATGGGGTCAGTAAACCACGCATAGGATCAATGGCGAGCTACATACATGCAAGAGAGCTTGACGCTCCTCTCTGCCAAGGTGGGTGTAGGCATCGCTAAGGACGAATCGAATGGCAGCAAAGAAATTACTTTTGCCAGAACCATTGCGGCCGACGATAACATTGTGTTTGGGGGAGAATGGCTCAATGACCGTTTGGTCCTTGTAGCTAAAGATCGTATTTTGTCAGAAATAGTTCGTAGAACCCGGTGGTCGTTCATTTGGGCCACCATACCTCTTAAAGCCTTGGATGATGATCTGCTTGACATACATCGTTAGAGGATACGCGCGACGCGATAATCACCTATAACGCCCGCGGCATAACGCGACTGGCGCGAATGTTAGAAAGTGAAAATGTGCGCCGTGAGTATCAGCGCCACGGATGTCCTGGCAAAGAATAAAGAAAGACCGAGGCGAATGATGCGTGTGTTGCGACAGGCAGGGGAGACTACGCGAGGAACGAAATCCGCGCGTCTCGTTGGGCGCGGGGTTCTGCCGGGCGGTCAACCAAATTTGGGCCACAGAAAAAAAAAACCTTGGGGACGGACGAACTCACATCTCTGCTTTCTCGACATTGAAGATCCAGAATGGCTTCAAACGAGAATACTGCCCAGGCAACTGGCATTGCTGATGGCCTTGCGCCATCCCACACCTACATGCCCAACGAGGGCTATGTGAACCCCGATAATGCAGACTCCGCTGCGGCGGGGCAAGATCTGCCCGATGAGCAGGACGATGACTACGACGAGGACTATGAGGATATTTTCGAGGAGGAATTAGATCGCGAGGACATTCTCTCTTCCGATAACTCCGACCTCACCAAGGCCTATAACCGCCAGCGCAAAATCAACGATCTCGCTGCCGACTCCAATATCCCGAAATGGACCTATCCCAAGACGAACACCCAGAAGCCTACCGTCAACACTTCTGCCTCCATCGATGACCAGGTCAAGTCGCTCACTCGCCATGCTGGCAAGATCAAACTCGACGATCAACAGGCTGGTATCTCAGGCAAGGCTGAGAAGGGCGGAGATAAGGCTGACCGAGCCACCTCGGAACAAGTGTTGGATCCTCGTACACGGATGCTCTTGCTGCAGATGATCAACCGTGGACTTGTCTCGGAGATTCATGGATGTCTGTCTACCGGAAAGGAAGCCAACGTCTACCACGCCATGTCCTTCCCCCAGGAAGACGAGGATGCCATCCCGGTACACCGTGCCATCAAGGTCTACAAGACAAGTATTTTGGTCTTCAAGGACCGTGATAAGTATGTGACTGGCGAGTTCCGTTTCCGTCAGGGATACAACAAGAGTAATAACCGCGCCATGGTTAAACTCTGGGCCGAGAAGGAAATGCGTAACCTGCGCAGAATCTACGCTACCGGTATCCCCTGTCCCGAGCCTATCTACCTCCGTCTCCACGTTCTCGTGATGGGATTCATTGGTAGCTCCAAGGGTCTGGGCGCACCTCGCCTGAAGGACGTGGACTTCAACATCCCCGAGCCCGAGACTCGCTGGCGCGCACTGTACATGGAATTGTTGGGTTACATGCGTGTTATGTACCAGACTTGTCGTCTAGTCCACGCCGATCTGAGCGAGTATAACATTCTCTACCACAAGGAGCGTCTCTACATCATCGATGTCAGTCAGAGTGTTGAGCACGACCACCCTCGCAGTTTGGAATTCCTGCGCATGGATATCAAGAACGTTAGCGACTTCTTCCGCCGGAAGAATGTTCTTACGCTGCCTGAGCGTACTGTCTTCCAGTTCATCATCTCTCCTGACGGCCCGACTGACATCGCTGCTGGAAGCGAAGAGATGAATGCTGCCATTGAGAAGCTTCTTATTGCCCGTGAGGAGGGTGACGAAGAGCAGCAGGAGGCCGAGGATGTCGACACTGCGGTCTTCCGTCAACAATACATTCCCCAGACGCTAGAGCAGGTGTACGATGTGGAGCGTGATGCCGAGCGCATCCGTGACGGCCAAGGTGCCGACCTTATCTACGGCGACCTCTTGGCTGGTGGCAAGAAGAAGACCGATGTCGAAGAAGAAGACCTCGCCTCTGATGCCAGTGGTGGTGTTTCTGTCTCAGGATCCGACTCGGAGGATGATGAGAATGATCCTTTCGCGAAGAAGGCGCCTCGGGGTAAACGTTTCGAAGACAAAGACTCCAAGCGCGATCACAAGGCAAAGGTCAAGGAGGAGAAGCGTGAGCAGCGAGCGAACAAGATGCCCAAGCATATGAAGAAGCGTCTTGTCTCTTCGTCCTCCAGGAAGAAGAAATAAGCGCACGGCTTCTCTTATCTTTCTTTGCATGTGCACGTTGCGATATTTTACACGTTGTGTGAGTAACCGCTTGGCATGATTTGATGATGAAATGCATATATGGATGGAGCATTGGGCATTTGATACCTTGGTCTACACTAGATAAAAATGGGACAATATATATATCTGCTACGCAAAAATATATTTTATGGCGAACCATGTGTGAGTAGACAATAAGTTACTTAAGCCAGAACAAAAATCTTCTTATATATATTGCTCACCACTTGAGATGGACAATGACCTATCAGAGCTCTCTTTGGAAGTCATTCCAAACCGATCTTCCCCCAATCTCCTGCAAGATCCAGAATACACAGTGCTTACATCTTCGAGGAGTATGCATCTGAAGTATCGATTGGATCGAACAGGAGATTGAGGGGGGGAAAACGGCAGGTCGGACCTATTGGGTTTTCATCATCTAGGTCATATTGCAAGTCCAGCTCGATTGTGATTGTGATATAGTAGCTAAATGTAGCAGGGAGCAAGCCTAATCTCCAATTTCCACCGTAATTACATAACGCGGCGGGAATAGCAGAAGATCCAAATGAAGACGCCGAGGGAAATGATGCATCGCTGTACTGTAATGGAAATAAGGTGGGTATTAGCAGTGTGTGGGATAGATAGATTGGGAGCCGGTGTGGGATCACAGAATTTGGCCATGTGGGTTTACGCAACGCTCTTATGCCGCGCCTTGACCCGTGCGTATGCCTGCTCGATTAGGTCTTTCGGCAAGTTGGGGATATGTTCCCCCTCGGCACTGTCATCTGGGAACCCTGATTTGACAGCCTCGGTCAACTCGTAAGCACTGGATTGCTCAGGGATATCTCCTGGAGCAGGGTTACCGTCGAGGTGACCACCTGGCAGACGGAGGAATTGCACCTGCATGGGCGCTAGCCCAACACCAGGCCAGATGTCCGAGGGAAGGAAATCACCCTGGTCGACGCGGAAAGCATCCCGAGCGGCAGCGTCTTCGTCGTGGAGTTGGTCCAGCTTGTGCCGGGTGTCTCGGAGGACCTTTTCCACCCTTTGACGGACGTGCTTTCGACGAGCTACCTCGAGCATAAGGCTATCATAGGCGTTGAGGAAGCCATCATAGAGGGAGTGTAGGTCAGAGAGTTCTGCAAGACCCGTGTTAATACGGTCGTTTTCCTCGTGCCATACTCTGGTAAAATTGTGTGCCTGGGAGATGTAACGAGGTAGACGAGAGGAGGCCAGGGAAGACAGATGGGTGTTCACTTCGATGGTTGCCTTGGAAATAGTCAAGAGCACATCTCGCTGTGCTTGTACTTGCTCAAAGATTGATTCCATCTCGGTGATGCGATCTTGGATTTCCATTACCACATCATCTGCCTCAGGGGCATCCTTGATAATAACAGTGACCATTTCCTGGTATTCAGCGTCTGTCATTGGATCCAGGGGTGCGTTCAAATTGGCATTGATTTCCGCCCCAATATTAGGCATCCCGTCGGTGCCGCGGTCCACACCCGAGGGCATGTCCCCCGTGATAGATCGCGCGACTGCTCCTCCACCATCTGTATGTTTCACCGCGGTGACGCAGAGGTCAAAATGACGAACCAGGGATTCGAGCAGGCCGGCCATTTCTTGGGCGTTGGCCTCCAATGATTGGATCTGACCAGGCATCGACGATAAGGTGAGCAAGCCGGAATCAGAGGCAGAGGATGAGGATGACGAGATTGAGACACGGGATGAGGCGAATTTCGTGGCTGTGTGGTAATGTCGAAGTGACTGCCTGGTGGCTTGAAGCTCGTCATCAAACTCCCGATTGGATGTGTCCAAATCAGCTCGTGCTGTGTTAGTGCGGTCTATTGAGTCTTTCAAGGAAGCATGCAGCTCTGCCACTCCTCGCTCATCCACGAAGTCGTGGAGGGTCTTCTGAACCTCATCCCCGGGCCTGAATGAAGGGTGAACAATTGTCCCACGCAGTAGATCCAGGGTATCTTTGAGGCGAGCATCAGCAGCATCAAGGTTTCTCAAGGCAGCCGAGAACTCATCACGACCCCGGTATGAGATTTCCTCCACCTCGGTGCGAACGTCGTATAGCAACCGCAGCTGATTATTTAGACCTCGGCGTAGAAACCCTGTCCGGGAGCAGACAATGACGCTCTCCTCCAACGCCGAATGGGACGCAGTCACGATTTCGTTGGCCCGCCACACATGATTTATCGAGGAAAGCGACCGCTTGGCTCCCAGTAGATAAGAAATCAGGTTGTCGACCTGTGGCATGGACTTTTCCTCGTCGGGGGGAGGAATCGACGATGCGGATGACTCGGATGACGACATTTTCGTAACCAGTGAAAGCGATGGGGTGAGACCAGGGTGAGCAGACACGGCTCTCAATGCCAGAAAGCCCTTGGTCGAAGGAGGCTACGAAAAGGAGGGATTCGGGACTCGGGATTCTACTATCAGTTGGAGGTCTAGATCACTTGCACTTGTTGACCATATGAATCCAGGCTGATACAGAGGTGGAAATGAAGGACGGAGCCCCGGATGCAGGGATGCACACCGATAAGCTCTTCCCCACCAAACAAAGCTGGGAGGAGAAAGGCGTCTTACCCAGTGGGTCTGGGGCTAGACTCGAGGATGTCTTCTCCACTGTAGGATCACTGTAGCTTCAGCCCGAGATTAGCGGTGTGATCCCGTCTGAGACCCCAACCTGATACATCGGGCGCGAATGATAAGTAGAAGACAAGTGAAGACTGGGGGGAAGTGTTGATGTGCGAGATGGCGGAGATGTCGCAATCCGGGTCACGTGGCACACCGCCCTAATCACGAATTCGCCTTCCGTCACGCAATTCCCTCTCAGTTGAGGCCGAGCTAAACCAAATCCGAACTATTGCGACTATTGCAACTAGACGATTGTGCAATCGCCCTTTTGTTTAAAGTCTCCGGCGATCCCGGTTGACTGCTGCAACTACTTCTGCAACTCCCTTC